ATATATATATATATATATATATATATATATATATATATATATATATGTTTCTCCGCCTGATAAGCTCACGTCGAACGCAACGCTAACAACGGGATCCATGCGCAGCGGTGAGCACGCGGCTGTCGGCCCACGGGCTGCCTTAGTGAGGCCGGAGACAAGCGAGTTGGGTCTTGGAATCCATAGGCTTCCTGATCATGCGCGGCGCGATCCATGGCCTCCGGCGGCAGATTCTTCTGTAAGTTAACAGGCGACTTAAAGGTTCTCTGACGCTCTGAGAAGGGCAAGGCGTCGGCGTGCTGGGAACAAAAAGGAGCGGCAGCAGCTTCTTGAGGGCAACTCGAAAAAAAGACACCGAACCCATCCCCAGAGAGAGAGGGGAAAACGACATTGCAGATTGATGCGTTACATTTAACTCGCCCCAAATCATCCATGCTTGGATCAGTAACCTGATCCTTTAAGGTTCCAGGTCTCTGCTTCCACTGTGCCACCGCCGCCGCCGCTGCTTGTGAGGAAAAGATGGATTCTTGCAAGATTATTCTCCTCCTCCGAGCTCTGCTCGTGCTTATATCTACCGGCACGAGAAGGTCGAACGGTGAAATACCAGAGAGCAAAGCGAGAAAGGTAAAGATCATCAGTGCCTATGAGATGGCACCTCTTCTGCAGTCTCACTGGCTTCGTCCAGGATCCACAGCTCCCTTACTTGGATGTTTCAGGCAAGTAAATGATGCCTGCGTTCATGTATTTTTGGATGCTTTGATTCAGTAGGAGAATACCTATTCACTGTCTCGTAAATTCTGTCCCCCATGTTCTGCAGATTGATCCATCTGTTGACATCCATTTTGTTGCTTTTCAAGGTAGAAGATTCCGGTTTGGAAGTATTGGAAAGGAAAAGGTGATAGTCGTAATGACTGGACTCTGCATGGTATGAGTTTGCAGATTACATCAACTTTCTGCACTCATTTACTGGTTTTTCTTGCAAAGTAAAATTATTTTAACTAAGCTGCAGAAAACAACTCTGTAGATCAAAACGCACAAAACTGATCAGCTGACAGGGTCACACTTCTCTAAAAAAATATCTCTCTGGTTATTCTAACATATGTTACTAGCTAATTGGCAGTCTCATCCCCTTCCTTATATACATGAGATACAAGAAAGGAATCAAAACCCTGAGAACATGTCAGATATCTTCAATGTAGTTTCTTATTATCCAAGGAGTGAGAACTGTCTTTCATAGGATCCACACTAATATCTCCAAGTCTAACTCAACATGAATTATATTTACTTTATCCTTAGCAGCAATCCGTAAGCCATCCATGACAATAGTCATCTCACAGTAGGGAACACTCCCCTTCTCCGCAAACCAGTTATTATTTTGGCTTTTATTCTTGGTGCAGCTGAATGCTGGTCTCAGTACTCAGTTGCTGCTGAACCTATTCAAAGGATAAGCAAATACATGTGTTTCTAAATTATTCTTAATGATCTCAATTTTGTTTGCAGTAAGTGCTGCATAATATTTTAGAGATTTATTATTTATTATTTTAGTTGTGTCCATTATTTCTTTAATCATGTCAGTTACTTTTTCTTGATTTATTTGACGATATTGGCAATGATCATACATCAACGTTATATTAGCATTATGATCATTATTATAACCTAGCAATCATAGATTCTTGGATCTGTCGCTTGTTTTGACATACAAAAAAGAAAAAAAAACTTCTCTTCTCACTTTTAAGATTCTTTTATTTTCCATATAGAATATTTTTTATTCTTCTGGGTTTTTTTTTTTTCTGATGATGCTGTGGTATCGGTAAAAGAGGAATCTGTCTTATCCTTGGAAGAGAATGAATTTAATCACACACTTACGTGAAGGTTTAGAATCATTTCTTAGGATACTGTAAAATATGATTTTGGGTGAATTCTAAAATTAATTCTTTTTATTTTGTTAGTTGAATCAGATTTAATTTTATTGTTGAGGTTTTACTAAGCAGAATATGCCTTCTTGATGCATTACAATCAGCTATTCTTGGTAAACTAGCATTATTTTTGAGTGCTAATGTTTTAGAAGAACATTTCCTGGAACAGCTTTATGGTGATGGACCGAATGATGAGTTAGGACTGGAATCCAACGGAGACTATACCAGGAAATTTGGTTACTTGGATTTCTGAGAATACAGCAATGTTACTGAAACTGGAGTTGCCTATGGAAGTCTCCTCAACAGAGTCTGGTACCAACCAGAGGAGATCTTTCCTGTCCATGGAGTCCCGGAAGTCAGACATGTCTTCTGGGTTGCTGTCGACAACAAGTACTGCGCACTTTCAAAGCAGCTTGAGGTATGATTGGTATACGAGACTTGATTGTTTCATTCATCTTAATGAATGAACATGGGTTTGAGGAGTTGATGAAACACAGGGTTTCTGTACTTACAGGGCCTGAAGTCGAAGAGGGTGTGTCAACTTTACGTATGCCTACCGAGGAGTCCTGTGGTGGTGAGGGTGACAAGGTGATGCAGTGGTAATCTCTTGAGCAACATGGCCTGCAAGCACTTTTTGCATTCCAAGTTCAACGCCACCACGTTGGATATCGAGAGCGCAGCTGTTGCACTCGTTGCCTGCTTGCAGCAGAGGACTTCCGTCCATAGCTTTCAGAGCTGTTTCGGGAGGCGGATCTTTCCAATCCCAGCATGCTGCTGCCGTGTTCACCAATTTGGCAGTCGAGAATGCTGTCGAAGTCGTCGTCCAATTCATTTCAGAAGCTAGAAATCTGTCCAGTTACCGGAAGACTGCATGTCTGCCATGGCTTTGCAGGACGAATCATTGAGCTGCCCGACTGTGGGTCTGATGCTGCATCTTGTTGTCACTCGATTCGTTTGTTATTGTGTCCGAGAAATCAACCTGATGCCTGCAAGGCGATGAACCCCAAGTTAAGAGACTTTTGTCTCTCTTGGTTTGTTCACCCGGTAGAGGCAAAAACATTGCTCATCTCGCCTCGGTCGCCCAGTGGAATTTCTAGAGACTGGATGAATCAACAAAGATCCAATATGTGCAATATTATATCGAGAAAAGAGAGGAGAAAGACGGGTTTTGCAGACGGCAGTCCTATATATTCCACAATATGAGTAATTCGCCACTGGTTTATCTTCCTCCGGGCAGGGAAAGATGCAAGCTCCTGTAGCAGAGGAGGAAGCTCCAATGCCATTGAAGGGGAAGGGTGGCCTAAAGACTCTCCCATGTATCATGGGTAAGAGTTCTTACCTTCACACTACAGTTTGTATGAAGCAAAATGGATTCCAAGTTCTCACACTTCAGCTTTCCTCATGCAGCAAATGAGATCCTCGAGAAAGTTGCGAGCTTTGGGCTCCATGCAAACATGATCGTCTACCTGACGAAGACGTATAACATGTCCCCTGCTGCTGGTGCCATTGTCCTCTTCATATGGGGAGCAGCATCCAACTTCACACCGATCTTTGGGGCTTTTTTGTCGGATTCTTTTCTTGGTCGTTTCCGAGTGATCGCAATTGGGTCCTTCGTCAGCCTAATTGTAAGTCCATCATCTCGGCTTTCTCGTACGAAACAGCATTAACCATGTCTCGCGTTCTCGTTCAAGGGCATGGCGCTTCTTTGGCTCACAGCGGTGGTTCCTGGGGCGCAGCCTCCTGCTTGCGGCCACGCGAACGACGACTGCGCGTCGCCCACCTCGTCGCAGCTCGCTTTCCTGTTTGCCGCTTTCGCCGTCATGTCGGTGGGATCAGGTGGCGTCCGGCCGTGCTCTCTTGCCTTCGGTGCGGACCAATTGGACCAGAAGGGCGCGCCTCAGAACGAGAGGACCCTGCAGACCTTCTTCAACTGGTACTACGCGTCGGTCGGCATCTCCATCATCGTCGCGGTGACGGTCATCGTGTACGTGCAAGATTACAAAGGCTGGGCGGTCGGGTTTGGTGTTCCTGTCGTGCTCATGGCAATCTCTGCAGCCCTGTTTCTTCTGGGATCTCCTTTCTACATCAAGTTCAAGGCAAATAAAAGCATTTTAGCCGGACTCGCACAAGTCATCGTCGTGAGTCTCAAGAACCGGCATATAGTCTTGCCTCCGGACACCAACCATGTGCGGTTCCACAACAAGAAGGGCTCCAAACTCACCGTTCCAACCAAGAAACTGAGGTACCACGTTCATCATCACACTTTGATGATTACCCGAAGTACGCATGCGTGCATCATCCGCTGGAACTTCTGCAGGTTCTTGAACAAAGCTTGTGTCATCAGAAATCAGGAGAAGGATCTGAATCCCGACGGAACAGCATCAAACGCCTGGAACTTGTGCACGGTGGAGCAGGTGGAAGTCCTCAAGTCGGTGGTGCGAGTGCTGCCTATTTGGTCGTCCAGCATCATGGTTGCCGTTGTCATCAGCCAGTACTCGTTCCCGGTGCTGCAAGCGGGCACCATGGACCGCCACATCGGGTCGAAGTTCCAAATCCCGGCGGGCTCCTTCGTTGTGTTCTCCATCATCACTCTGACGCTTTGGGTGGCCATCTACGACCGGCTGGTGGTTCCCCCGCTGTCGAAGATCACGGGGAGACCTCGTGGGTTCAGCCTCAGACAGCGGATGGGAATCGGCCAGGTACTGTCATGCATGGCCACGGCGGCGGCGGCCGTCACGGAGGGCGCTCGCCGCAGAAGGGCCATCGAACAAGGACTCGCTGATGATCCACAAGGGATGGTGAACATGTCGGCCATGTGGCTGGTGCCACAGAATTGCCTGACTGGTTTAGCAGAGGCCCTCAACCTCATCGGGCAGCTCGAGTTCTACTACTCCGAGTTCCCCAGAAGCATGGCGAGCGTTGCCGTGTCGCTGTTGACGCTTGGAATGGGGTTTGGGAACTTGGTGAGCAGTGTCATCACGGCGCTCGTCAACAAGATCAGTGGAGCAGATGGTGGCGCGAGCTGGCTCGACAGGAACATCAACAAGGGCCACCTCGACTACTACTACTGGATTCTTACACTACTTGGCATCGTAAACATCTTCTATTTCATGGCCTGTAGTCTAGTTTATGGCGAGGAAGGGCAGGATAAGATCTGGGACGACGACTCACAGATGAAACAAGACCTGCACTCTGCCAGAGAACTACCAATCGCTGTTTGATGTGCAATCAAAGAAACGTGTTTACCGCTCGTAAATTAGATCCATTTAACTTATAAATTGAGCTAGATTTCTGTCAGCGACCTAAAAAACATTTCATCTATAAACGCCAAATCTTGTGACGGAGATGAAGCTGCAGCCAAGTTATTTAATGCACCACCCGAAGCCAAACACTGTCGACGAGAACGTGTTTACTGCTCGAGACTGGCATCATGGGCATTGGGTACGCCGACGAGGCGGGCGGTGCTACATTTGATTTGGTTGGTGGCGACGGCACCAAACCCGGTGAGCGCAGCGATTCATTACCGAGTCAGCAGAGCTCGTGCAGCGAAAAGAGACGCTGAGGTGCAACCACAACAGCGGCTCGCCCGACCCAAACGGTCGGATCCGAGACGTCGGATTCGAAAATTGAATACCACTCCCTCGTCGTGGAAGAGGACGTGCAAGCTTCTAGAACTACGAGCCTCCCCCGATCGTTACCTTCGTTTCCTACGCAACCCTCATACCAATCAATGGGACCCATACAACGTCTCAATGGGCGAGTGGGTACAATGAAGGCTAATTCGTCTTTTCGTGGAGCTCCGATGTCACGGTCGTGACTTGGAAATAGATCACGCGTTGGAATTACTGGATTTACATGTCGGTTTCGTTGCATGTTTAAGTAAAACAAAGGGTGGCCTCGTAAGAAGAAAAAGGACCGGAGACCAGCTTCTAATGTAACTCCGAGAGCTACATCTCATCTCCTGCTCGCACCAAAAACTCCACTGCCCTTGTCCTCTTCTTTCCCGAGTTCCCAAGATCGTGATCAGCAGCTCTCCTCTCGCCCACAGCTTCTCTCCTCCTGCTCTTCTGCCATCCCTTGTTGTCCTTTACCTTATCGTTTTGCTCCTCCTGCCTTCCAAGCGAAGCAACTCCCTCCTCGCTGTCTGCCTCCGTTTATAGCGTGTTTCTTCTTCTTCTTTGCTCTCCACCACCACCTGATAGCTAGCCGGAGCCGGAGCGAGGATGAGCGCCACAAAGTTCATCAAGTGTGTGACTGTTGGGGATGGAGCTGTGGGGAAGACTTGTATGCTCATCTGCTACACCAGCAACAAGTTCCCCACTGTATGTATCACTTCCCCTTTGCTTTAGCAACCACAAGGCTTCATCCGTTGCTCTCTTGATTCCGATTGTTCTGTTCTTCTTCATTTCTCTTATTTTTGTTCTTGTCAATGATCTGTATCAGTATCCCTCTTTAGAACCAGAGAATAGGAATCAGGATCTTCTACATTTGTTCTTTATTCATAGATTTCCTTTCTTTTCTTTCTGTAGTTATTCTGTTCCGGTTTTGTGTGATGTTGTGGTTCTTTGCAGGACTACATCCCTACTGTGTTTGATAACTTCAGCGCTAATGTCTCTGTCGATGGCAGCATTGTCAACTTAGGATTGTGGGACACTGCAGGTTTCATGATCTTCCACATCTACTTAGTTACTTGTTCCAACTAGATCTGCAATTTTTTGTTGAATGACTCTATATGGTTTCACTTCCCTTTGCAGGACAAGAAGACTACAGCAGATTGAGGCCACTGAGCTATAGAGGGGCTGATATATTTGTTTTAGCTTTCTCTCTAATTAGCAGGGCAAGCTATGAGAATGTTCTCAAGAAGGTTATAATTAAGTGTCAATTCATCATTCCGTTTACATTCATGTTGCAGACATTGGTAGCTCTATTAGCAACTTCGAGCTGAAAATATCTTTTACTTGTTTTTATCCAAATTATGTTTCTTTGTTTGAATGTTAAAATTTGGAATATATATATATATATATATGTTTTATTCAAGAATAAGTACAGCTATAATCTTATTTTTCTAATCGGTCTCTGGATCGAATTATCATGGCGACTTGATTTGTTTTGAGACTTTTGATTCCTCGTTTCACAACTTTAGGAACTCATTGTTGCAATGATACTCCTAATCGACTAGTGTATTCACGAAACTTGTAATTGTTCTTTTGTTAACCAGTGGATGCCCGAGCTTCGCCGCTTCGCACCAAATGTTCCTATTGTTCTTGTTGGAACAAAACTAGGTTCGCAGCCATCTTGAGTTCCACCATCTTAATTGATGTATGCAATTAGCTCTTTGAGAATATTAATCACCTTGGTATCTGATAAACTACAGATCTTCGCGAAGACAAAGCATATCTTGCTGATCATCCAGGTGCAACTACCATAACTCCAGCTCAGGTACATAGATTTTGCATTGAGCTTTTGCACCATCTTTCTTCCATCTGAAATTTATTGCTTGTTTTGAGGCCAAACAATACATTGCCATCGTTCCAGGGCGAAGAACTCAGGAAACAAGTTGGTGCTGCTGCATATATCGAGTGCAGCTCTAAGACTCAACAGGTGTGTCAAACAGAAAATACTAGACTATTAGTCGTCGGTACTATTGCCGCTGCAATGTTTTTTTGTAAACCATGATAACTTACTAATAATTGTGTCTTATTCTTTGCTTCGGATTGGTTAGAACATCAAGGCAGTCTTTGATACTGCAATCAAGGTAGTTCTTCAACCTCCACGAAGGAAGGAGGTCGCCAAGAAGAAAAGTAAAAGAAGCCCCGGTTGTCTAATGGCGTAAGTAGTTGACTACATATCCCTCGTCCATTCATCAATGGTTGTGTTATTATACATTAGTGTCTACATTCGATTCCATTCTTTTTCTCAAACTCTTAGACCTTGAAAGTAACATCTTCAGAAATGTTTGTTTTTTCTAACGCTGGAACCCTGTTAATCACATTTGCTCATTTAATTCACATCAAATATTTACTTGTTAAGCAAAATGAAAGAATTCAACGAATGTTATAATACTCTTCATCACTTACAAGAAATTTTACATACTCGCTATAGATTTCCTCTTGCCATCCTTGTGCTGCAACACGATTGATCCCAGAATACTTCTGCAGGAACTTGGTGTGTGGAGGCACATGCACTACCTAGAATGGACAAGAAACTCATCTTGGTCTTCAGTTCACCGAAAGTGCCGACTAATATTGTTCTTCGGGTCGATAGAGAGGGAACTGCAGGTTCCCATGCTTTTCTAAGAAATCAGCTCATCTCTAGTTTCCGTAACAAGTGAATTATCTGTACACTTAGTATTGCAATGTTAATCTCTTATTAGCCATTTTCGATGCAGAATTTAATCTCTTATTAGCCACAGTCTTGTTTTAATGCCAGAATTCAGTAAACATGGGAAGCAGGCTTTCAACAAAGAGCTGCAGTATCTAAAAAGCTAGCTGCAATTCCTGTGCAATGCCTTGTATCTCAAAAGTTTGCTTTAATTATATGAAGATTCAACATGACAAACTGAGAACAAAATTACATAAAACTTGTCATGCATGTTAACTCATCTATATATACATTATCACTTACAGTCAGTCAGAACATTTGTACGCTTCTGCCCTTACAATAATATTTCCTGCTTGTATTGAAACATCATCAAACAGCTTAAAAGAAACAAAACTGATTCAGTCCTGAAACTACTGAACCTTTTCCACCATCAACATCATCACATGCTTTCAAAGCTATTTTAAGACACAGAAAAGGCCAGGCCAGGCCAAAGATAGGCCAGGCCGCCAGCCGAATTCCTGCAGAAGAGCTTAAAGCTTGAAATGCAAAGCATCTGTGCTTCCCATAACGCCTTTAGAACGCTGAGCTTTACCAACTGCTACTTCACCATCATGATGAGTCTGAGCTAAGATCTTCACTTCCTCGCATGTAAGCATTGTCTTCATTGGGAAGACTAAAGTCAGCAGGGTTTAGATTGACAACGCAGTCTCAAGTTACACAATCACGTCTCGCAGATTGGCCCATCTCAAACTTCTTTACAAGAGAATCTACAGCTTCTGCAATCTGCTTGCTGTCTCAAGAAAGTGAGTTGTACAGGGTTGGAATCTAGAATCGAGACAATTTCATGACCAATAAATTCCCTTGAGTTCATGACCCTTTGAATCATGATAGTCTCTTGCATGACCTATGTCATCATGATATAGGACATACATTAATTTTATTTCTTAGCTTATGTCATTGGTTTGATCGTCTGATACTAATTGAGAGAGATATGAAGAAACAATGATAAAAGGATAATTGAGGATATAATAAAATAATAATATTGATAATTGGACTTTAAAAAAATTCTTATTATAAACTATAAATAAAAAAAATTAAATATTTTTTTTAATTTAACTAAAAATATTATATTTTATGAAATTTAATGATGTAAAAAACATTAATATAACCAACCTCAAATACTTGCGATTTTACAACCGTAAGCATAAAGCTGACATGGCGCATGACGAATTATATTCAAAGATTACCATATGATTGGTAACGCTATTGATGGCTCAGCAGAACGGGGTCCCACTTGTGGGTTCCAGAGTGGGGCCCAGTTCCTTTATCGGGCCACTAAGTACAAAGGCATAAAGATCAAGATCAAAGTGTTGCTTGCCCCACGTGTGGGCTCCAGCGGTCATAGATGACTGTCTTATCCAATATGTAATCTGTTGCCGCGGAAAGGAATCTCACCGAGTTACACGAAGTTGGAGCACCGCATACGATTGGTCCGAAGCGTAGGCTCCACCGCTGACGGTGATCCAGTGTGATACGTTCGTAGCGTCCATAGAGTGAGGATTCGTCCACTGCATCACAATCGGCCACAGCTCGACTTAAACGTCCATCAAGAAACATATATAACATACACAACGAGTATATACTAAATTACGTTTGCAGAATGGTGAAAAGAGCGTTCAAATGAAATCGTTGAGATCAAGTGGATGAGACAGGCTCGGACTGGAGATGAATAATATGTTCCTTAAATAGATTTAATGTACATCCTCTGATTAAAGCTAGTCAAATTCAATATGATGGAATTCGATTTGGCACGATATAAATTGATCTGAAATTAACATCCCAAGTTATCAATTAATAAACCGGAAAGGCTGTCCCCAATCCAATCGGACGGCCCACATCTCGAACCCTATGAATTTGGACCACTTGATCTCTCCAAGAGGACACAGCCGTCCGATCTTTTAATGGACGCCGATCCGACCGTCAAATATTATAATTTGATTTCAAAAGCAGAGAGGGAGAGAGAACGAGAAGAGGCTTTCGTTTCCACCTCCCCTCCCCCTCTTCCTCTCCTCGTGCTCGAAAATTTTCCCTCACCCCAACAAGAATCCCACCCCGCATCCTCCTCCTCGGCCATCTCCCGCCGCCGCCGCTCCTCTCGGTAGGTCGCCGCCGCTCGATTCCTTCTCCGACGCTGGAGATCTCCGCGCCGCCGCGGGCCTTTCCTTTGTTCCCAGATTCAGCGGCGACCTCGAAGTTCTCGAACGCCCGATCTGAGGCGGTATCTACTTGTTCGGAACCCATAGGGGGTTCGGATTCCTCCAGAAGAGGTGGAATTCGGAGGGAAATTTCTGGCGTTCTTCTTGAATCGATTCTTGGATCGGCGATTGACGGGTTCCAATGGAGCAAAGCGGTCAGCCGGCTGCATCGGCGCCGTCTGATTTCCCTCCGAGAAAGCTCGTCCGGCATCTGGATTTCACGGCTGCGGCTTACGGCGGAGCTTCCTCTTCCGCGGCTGTATCGGTGTCTATCGATCCGCCGCAGCAACCGCAGCAGCCGCCGCCGCCGCCGCCGCGGCCCGCGCCGGCTTCTCTGCCAATATCGCGACCCGCAATTTCCTCAATTGCCGTAGCCGCGTGAGTAACGGGTTTTATCTGATTCTTGAAATCTTTTAGGAGTCGGGCAACCTCTTTTCAAATTTTAGGTTAGGTTTCGGTGCATCGATTTTGAGATTTTTCCTAATTTTTATATCAAAGGCATCAGCATGAGACTTTTCCCTCTTTATGCGAAAATGTTTCTGCTGTGCTCTCATTTTGAGACCCCGTTTTTGAACTCATTTCAAATTCGAAAATATGACCCAAGAAAGATTTTCTTTTGCTATTTTCGGTTGTTGTTTTGGCCTTTAAGTCTCTTTCACTTTACACTACGAATTTAAATCTTGTTATACTTGGAGACGTCCTGTATTGAAACTTGTCAAGAATGATGATATATTAGAAGAGGGAAATTGCATTTTTACCTCATGTGATTAGTGTTTCAATTGGTTGAATTTAATAGATTTCCTCTTTCTTTTTGGTCTTCTGCTTCTTGTCTGTCATAATTGTCAGTGACTAATATGTAAAATGTGCCCCGGTCATGCATCAAAATTTATTCTCAGGTACTCTGGTATTGAACATGCCGAGAATCTATTGCTTATAGAATTGTATTCAGATTGTTTACAGTGACATAAGAATCGTGGTAATGTACCTGTTACCATTCTTGAGGATTACTCGGCAGTAGATAAGCTTTTGTATTTACTTGATGTCTACATTTGTTATATTTACTAACTGCAAGGGATTGGCTCACAATTTTACTATGATCCATTTCAGCAAGACAGAATCACCCAAGTCACGACCACGACTGTTATATGATGCAAAAGATGGTACACCAACAAGAAAAAAGAACTGCAACTGCAAACACTCAAAATGCTTGAAGCTGTACGTGAAATAACCTTTTGTTATGTAACTTTTGTCAGCTTACTTAGAAGTATCATTTGTGCCCCATGCTGTTACTAATTGCATTATTACTTCACACTAAATACATGCTACTTGTGATGTGCTAATAATTGTTTGCCATTTATTTCTTCAATATCATCTATAATCCTAGGCATACACATTTGACAGATGTCACATGCCATAAACAGTGTCTCTTGGCAGAATAGGATCCAAAATTATGAAATCTGTAATAATCATTATAAGGAACTAGCATTCTTGTTTCCATTATCCTTCAATCCGTCTCCTCTAGAAGACTCCTAAGAAGTATTGTTTCATAAGGCATCTTAGTTTTGCAAATACTTCATGCACCAGTTGTTATCTGCCAAAGTCAGTTATCTTGACTCGAAATGTTTCTGGAGATGAATAAAGAATCTGAGTCTTTGCAGTTGCCTCTACTGTAAAGTTTCAAGAACATGATCAAGTTGGCATAAAGACTTGCTCCCATTTCAAAACTTGCTCATCTGTTGGTAAATGGCAAAACATAAGTGAGCTCTAATAGACCACCGTCCATGAGGATAGCTCCTTTCAGAACAGTTTATTCTTTATGGTTGAACTACCTAAACAGCAACCTAATATGAAAATGAGAACCTTCCTTTACATTACCCTGGAATTTCATACTTGATTCTTTTGCTGCCAAAGGAATTAACAATAACACCCTGGGATATCATACTTGATTCTTTTTTTTTGCAATAGGAATTAACAGCAAATCTCTTGTAGCTTTGGTGAATTAAGGACAGTACTTTCCTGTCCGACTCCTTCCGGTGAGAAATTGACATCCTAAATTTATGGAAGTACAGGAATTATGATATTATATTAATGCAACACATGCTTTTGATGACTGAGACATACAATTTGGTTGTTGAATAACTTGGTTGATACTAGTTTCATATACAAGTGGGTTTGTGTTTGTAAGATTGGTCAAATATAAAAGTACAAGCATATAGTACTGTCACAAATCAAACTTTGGGATGGCAATAGCTTGTTTTCGATAAACCTATGGCAATAGCTGATTTATGAATGATTTTCAGGAAATTAATGTAATGGTGGTTGATGGAATTATTCCGTCAAATTCATTATCCCTATCTAAAGTTTCAAAATCAAGAGTAAGCTAATCATTAGTGTCACAATGAGTAATGATGAATGAAAAAGCAAGGAAAAGATCTCTGTGCTAATTCTTGAAAAGGCTTACACTAGCAGAAAAAAGTTGGTTATTTACCTGCTTCTCTGAAGTGAATCTTGTTTTGCACACTGAATAAAGAAAGTGTTTTGCCTATTGGCTCCACAAGTATGCAACAGAACAATAGGCTGCTTGACTATGCTAGGGATGATCACATTAAATTCTCAGTGAAGAAATATTCAAATATTAGTGGGTAGAAAAATTCATGTCGATTTTGAATTGACTTGTTTCAATTATTCATCTAGAGCATTCAATGCTCACATGGAAGTGTCAGTGTGAAGTATACCAAATTTTGTGGTTATAAAGATTCATACTGATTCAGTCATTCAGCGTTGAACTTAGCTTTGCAATTAAGTACTCAATCATATGGCTGTATTTTCATGTTCTTCCTAAACTTGCTCATTGTACTTATGTTCTTTCATTATTGCACACTTAGGTATTGTGAGTGCTTTGCATCGGGAGTTTATTGTGATGGCTGCAACTGTTCAAACTGCTGTAACAATGTTGAGAATGAAGCTGCTAGACATGAGGCTGTTGAAGCTACTCTAGAGCGCAATCCTAATGCCTTTAGGCCTAAGATTGGCAGCAGCCCACATGCATCACGGGATGGCAGGGTATGTACTCAATCTTCTATTAAAACAAATTCTGATTTCTTATTTGGTTTCTTTCACAAGGTGCATGCCTATTAAGCATGTCAGGCACTTTTTTTTTTTGAGTTAGTCATCCTGTCTTACATGATATCTTGTAGCAATTCTGACCTGCGGTGACGACATATCTTGGTGAATTTGAAATCTCCTAAGGAATTGGCAGAACTACTGGTTATCAATTTAGCACAATGGTGTATAAGCATCTTAAATGTTTGTGTTGTCTTGCTTGCTCTTGGTGATAATTGCTAAATATTTGGCTGCTGACTCTTTAACTGGTACAAATCCTTTATATCCATGCCTAGTAATTTCCATGTTTCATATTTTGCCTTATATGCATATCTTATATGGAATCTCAGGTTTAGATTAGTATATATTGACATTTTTGAACCAGCTAGCTATCATCTTTATTATTATTAAATTCATTATTATTGTTTAAAGTGATGACAAGAAAAGATAAATGTTCAAGATTCTCTGAACTTCATCATATAAATACACACACACATATATATATATAGCAATTGTTTGCCAAATTCTAATATCAACATGCTTATATGTGTTAGGATGAGGCAGGAGAACTTCCTTTGGTGGGAAAACATAATAAAGGATGCCATTGTAAGAAGTCTGGGTGCCTAAAAAAATACTGTGAATGCTTCCAAGCCAACATTCTCTGTTCTGATAATTGTAAATGTATGGATTGTAAGAACTTCGAAGGGAGTGAAGAGAGGAAGGCTCTCTTCCGTGGTGATCATGGAAGCGCTCTTTATATGCAGCAGGCAGCCAATGCATCCCTAAATGGGGCCATTGGCCCATCAGCATTCATGTCTCCTTCAGCATCTAGGAAGAGGAAGAACCAGGAGCTCTTCTTTGGTGCATCAATAAAGGATCAACCCACTAAAAGGCTTACACAACTTCCACAGGTAATTTTCTGATATGCACAACATTATAAAGAATACTTTGTACTTGGTATCTCCCTGAAATCTGTATAAAAGTATTAGTCAAAAATTTATTATTCTCTTTATAATTCCGCATTGCATTGTTAGTTTGACAACTTTGGATTATTGTACATGCAAGATCTACGTTAATTTGGTTTGTCACAGAGGCTTTTCTAATTTGACATTTTCACTTGATTATAAGCATTGAAAGAGATGAAACCACAGTCTATTACTACTCTTTTGACTTAAATTTGACATGATTGATCAATCTGTGCTTTATTATTTGACATTGAAGAAATAACATTACTGGAACATCCTATACTTATCAGGCTAGGACTTCATCACCAGCCTCTTGTTCTGCTTCCACTCCTGCAGCTAGTGCTATTAATACTGCTCCAATGGCATCTACTAAGGTCACTTACAGGTACAGATCTATCTTTCACTTTTCTTATTCTTTTATTTGGTCTATTTTGAACGTAGAGCTTTTAAACTGTAGTGTTCTATGCATTAAGATTTAACTTACTGTTGGTCATCTGAAGGTCTCTTCTAGCAGACGTAGTCCAACCGGAGCACATTAGGGATCTCTGCAAGCTCTTGGTGATGGTATCTGGAGAGGTTGCCAAGACATTTGCTGGTATGTGTGATAATATATAGATAGACAGTTTGCAATAGCATATACTGTAATAAGGGACTCAACTGGAGGAGTATTGTTTCACAGAATAGAAAAAGCTATACCTGCAAACACCTCCATTTTTAGCTTTCATACCTCAAGAAATTGTTAATCAATATAACGAAATGTGTTTAATATGTTTATATATAAAGCAGCAAATTCGAACCATATATTTCTTGTTCATTCCATCTCAATTTTTTTTTCCGTATAATCTTTTTTTTTCTGATGATTCTGTAAAAGCAAATGGTTATGATCCTATCTTTCTTTACATTTTCTAGATGTTGACCATCTGGACTGATGTTGATTCTTTTGATATCTTTATTCTGATCATACTAGTGGCTTCTGAAAACTGAGTAACCAATATATGTCTTGAAATCATCATAATATTTTTACTCCTATTTCTAATAATTCAACCATCAGAAAGTCATTGTTCTTTAGGTACATATCTAATATTTAATTGAATGGATAACACATGGAAACGGAAGGTTGTGCATGTGCTTATTGAGTAGCTGCTAGAACAGTGGTAACCGGTAGAAAATTCCCATTTCATGCCGTGTTCTCCCCAAAATAACAAGTCAGACCCTTTCTTATCTGAGTTTACATGCAACATCTTGTATTTTCCAAACTAATTAAGCTCCACCTCCCATTTGATATTTGCCGAAGAGATTTGATCAATGGAATTACGAAATTACCCTCATGTTAACAACATGAGATATCCTCATATTTCATTAAATGCTTTCAGTTATGGAAAACACCATTTAAATGCCTTCCTTGAAAAGCCACTGAACACAAGTAGACTGCCTCATGGAAATGGATTGTATGATGTGTGAAAGCAATTTGGGTAGATGAAGACAAAGTGGATTGGTGGAAATGAGGAGGAAAACATGAGGGCCAGAGAAAGAGGGGGAAGAGTGGAAGGAAAAAGGACACTGGTAGTAACAGCACGAAGATTTTATCTGTAATTATGAAAGAAGTATCTTTATTATTTGAATTGTCAATGTAAACATTTAAATGGTAAAATAATTTCATAAGCTTATCCTTTTGGCTAACAAAAGTTTGTCACAAAGGGCAGGATTTAGTTAGTTTGGATAACTCAGAGTGTGGGATGTAATTTTTTATAATTGCAGATTTAAATCATAATGTTGCAGAAATAGGATGGAACTCTCTCGAAAATGTGCATGTCATGTCACTTGCAATGTCATGCAGAATATTTTTAGTAAATAATTAATTATTTGGAGTTTAATGAATACTAGAATCTAAGAAATCTCTAACAAAAATTTTTGGCCTCAGCTATTTTGATACTGACAAATTTCTACTCTCTAAAAATTTTCGTTTGCTAACTATTAATGCTGCTTTTGTTCACTGAACGCTGCCCTCGTCTGTTAATGTTTTGAGTACTGATTTAACTCATTAACATTTGTTTCTAATATATTTATTTTCTGAATTAAATATTCAGACAGAAAAGTTCAGGAGAAGTTAGCAGAGAAGGAAAGCCAAGTTGAAAGCTCTCTTGTACCATCAGAACAAGAAATAGATCAGAGACAGAAAGATGCTGATATGCAGAAAGCATCAGTCGATGAGCATTCTAGTGGAATTCCTGCAGAAAAGACTAGCATGGAAGAGTCTGAATCTGACTGTGGAGATGAACAGAAGGGTGGAAGGCCAATGTCTCCTGGGACACTGGCACTGTTGTGTGATGAGCAAGACACGGTTTTTATGACATCTCAAGCTACTGGTACAACTCCAAGATCTTCCAACAACCACAACACATCAGAAGTCTATGCGGAGCAAGAGAGGTGTGTATTAACGGAGTTCAGAGACTATCTCCTCAAGTTAGTCACCTATGGACGAATGAAAGGTAAACATTTTTTTTCCATGAGTTATTATTTTATCAAATATGTTTAGTTAATTTGAAGTGCCGTTGATTGTGTTATCTCAGGATGATAGATACATGGACATTTTGTGCTTTACATCTATATTTCTTCATTTCTGAAATGTGTGTGATCTGTTAGTTACCTCCAGTTAGCCAATTTGGGTGTCTGGTAGTATGAGTTGAAGGATTGACATGTGCGAGAATATACGAGTTGAAAATGGGTCTTTTTCCCGAACTGAACTGACACATGCAGTCTTAGTGTCATAATGAGAAAACATTTTCTCTGGATAACAAAAAAAAAAAGACCTTATAATGATTTTATTTATTCAGACCAAGTCGATTACAAGAATCTGCTTCCTTGTGTTGTTGCATTACATATTCCGGCACTTATACATTCTTATCTGATTTATGCAGAAGAGAAATACTCATCCATGTCATCAAAGTGTGAAGTGTCGCCGTGTCATATGGTATCAGCTCCAAATGGTGTTGCCAGAGGTGCAGTGCCGGCTGCCGCGGAGAAATCTCAGACAGTGAAACTGGTCCCCCCTAATTCTAATAAGTATCCTTCGGTTGAACAACAAACCATAGGGAACGGAGATATCAAACCTAAGATTGAGAAACCAGAGATGTGAACGAGTAAGCAAAAAGAAAATACAGAAACTCTCAGAACTCATTTCTGATTAATTCTCTAACACTCTGACAGCATGGATATGCTGTTGGAAGGTTATACTGTAACTCAGTCTATTATTTACAGTAGACTGAATCCTTTACAATTTTTCACTCATTTTAAGTGCAATTTATAAATAGTTTATCCATCGTGCTATGGTGTATGAGAGGTGGCATGGCATGATTATTGTGTGATTATTTTGCCTTTCACTAATTGCTCTACAAATTGATCCTTCTGTCCATTGAGTGCATGCACTTGTAACTTACGGTAGTAATTGTCATTTCTCAACATACTGATGTCAAGCCAAACACAAGATGGGCAGGATTAATTCTTGGTTTATGCTCTCATTGGTTTGGGCATATTATCATTGGTATGATTTTTGTTGATGTTTGACCATTTGTTATATTTCAGGTATCTGTTAAAGAAATATTCTGTGCCTGGTTTCTCATGACAGAGGACCGATCAGTATAGGGATCCACACGAAGCTTTGGGAATAGCAAAACAACTCGTCGAGTTTGGTTAAAATACAGGCTGGTTTATCAGTTTATAGAGAAGACAGACATTATTTATATTTTTTTAAAAAACCAGAGGGTTCGATGGATCCAATTTAAGAAAAAGAAAAACAAAAAGGAGGACGCAATCTAAATGAATCCATCCAATACATCACGATAAAAAAAGGGGCAGAGAAAGCAAAAAAAAGTCAGTCCACTTTTTGTAGCAACAACAATCTAATTTGTAAAATCGAATTGATTGAAGATTTTAGTTCTTGGTTTTTTCAATCTAGCCATTCGCTCGATATAATTAATAACAATAATAATAATAATAATAATAATAATATTATTATTATTATTATTATAAAAAATAAGTGACAAAAACTAAATTCAAGATCAGAACTTTACGGTATACTATCAAAAATTTTACCGGCCAAACTAGTTGACACATTCGATCTAATCATTATTATCAAAACATAATTACTTTTGTTAATTTATTAATATAAAAGGTTAATGATATCATCACAAGCTATTTTGACTCATAAAATTTTCCAGTCAACAAGTTCTTAGTTTGATTTTTTTTAAAAAAAAATTCCTTGATAGATCCAAATCCGAATGGAAAAAAAAAAAAGAAAAAAAAATGGTCATCCCCATCCCGCAGGGGGGACAAAAAAGCTGGAGAACAAAATTTTGTTAGTGCTTGGGAACATGCTGGTTTAAATGGGGGTTGATGGACCCATTACATGAAGGACAATAATGACATGCTTGTTTGAATGGAATTCATGGACCCATTCCAGATGTCCAAATTCCAAAGGACAATGTGCTGTCATCTGCATCCTCATCATTCATGTGATTGAAGGCTTAAACACTGATAGTTAATATGCCGTTAGCACAAGAATTCAAGTGTACATCCCATTGTCATCCCCACGTCCAAATTATCCCTACCAACCACAACGAGGGCGGCCAAATGGAAGGTTGCCAAGTGTTTGATGTTTCTCAATGGTGGTGGTAGAGAATATATTAATCTCGATCATATACTGATACTATGATAAAAGTGCACATAAATCGAGGTGTGATATGGGACTTACTTGACTTGTTTGTCCGTAGCTTCGTGGAAAATAGATTCGAAGGCAAGTAAGTGATCACGCGACTGGGAACGTCTCGTCATCTTCTTCTCAAAGCATCCACCATCTGCTGCTGCTGCTGCCTTACAGATTGATGGAGGAAGGCAAAGATACCAAGGAGTCGACAACCGTCATTTCCAAAGTGCCATCGACTCAGTACAGGGAGGACGAGAGCGAGGAAGAGCGTTTCCACCATGCTCTACTGGTTCGGAACCTTGCGTTCCTCTTCCTTTGTGTCACCCGTAGATTGCTCCAGTTAATGTGAGTCTCCTTTTACGTTGCTGACTCCAGGAGTTGAAGGACCTGCGCTCACAGCTCCACCATGCAGCGGATTACTGCGAGACTGCGTTTTCCAAGTCCGAGCACAAGAAAATGTGAGTTGTTTCCCCCTCTTTCTTTTCAGTCCACAGAAGAACCTTCTTTGGTGATGTTGTGTTGCGACATGAGCAGGATTTTGGAGGGTACAAAGAGCTATATATGTGAAGCCATGGTGGCAGTCGTCGACCATTTAGGAAATGTCTCCTCCAAGCTGGAGCAGAGTCCCCTTGCCAATGCCGTGGTTGTGCAGACAGAGCAAAGGATTGATTGCTTGAAGCAGGTCAGATTGTTCCCCCCTGGAAAACAAAACAGGAGGTCATCTTGTTAGTAGTAGTTGATCAATCTTCCTTGATGCGGTCATTTATGACGCAAGAGGATCTTTCTCGATTTGCTTAGCAGAGACAAAGAATTGGCTTAAAACACACACACACACACACACACACTTAAAAGAAACAGCCCAAACATCACAACAGTAGTAGTAGTCTAACACAGATGATACAATGATATCATACTTTTATAATTTCCTTGAGACCATGCAGTGTGGAAATTTTGTTTAACCAAACAATTTGCAGACACTTTTCTACTGTATTCTGTATGCCTTCTTCTTTTATGTCAAGAAATGTTGTCTTTGAGGAAAATTTATGAAATACACATCTAATGGTCATCATGGCTACAGAGACTTCTCACCTGTCAGCACTATGCTACAAGTCTCGAATTGGCTAGCATGCAACTAAGCATCAAGTTCCCTCGACAACACCAGCATTATGTTTCACCAGGTACCATCTTTTATCCTTGTTAGATGGATCCCAAATTCTAACACTTAAACACAGGATTTTCAATATTTTTACTATATACCAGAAAAAAAAAACATCATTTTATAGTATCATAATGGATATAAAAAGAAAAGTTCATTTACTTAAACTTACCGAAAAAAATGTTTTCTATTAAATAATTAAACAACCTACTTTTGTTCATTGATTCGACACACACTCTTTATCTATTGATACTTCCTTTGGAACAGCGGCCCAGTGTATTGGGAAGTCAAGTGATGATCTCTCCAGGTTGTGTTTGTTTCCCTCCTCTTAGTTTATATTTCATTATACCTTTATTTATTTTCTTAAAAGAAATTCGAGCACAGGGCCCAAGGTTCATCTCATTAGTATCGAACCTGGTGTGCTCTAAACAATATTTTATCATGCATGGCATCTAATTCAATATAGACATACAGGACGGAGGGGACAAATTCTCAACCATCTGAAGTTCCTATCACCAAAGACCATTCATCAGTGATGGAACATTTCTTGGGTTCCCAAGCTGGTACTCATTTCATGCCGGCAAGCAATGGAACGATTTCGGGTAAGTAAGCTATCTAGTGAAATATCAGGTCTGCTAGTTTCCCCATTTTAATCTCTTGGAAATGACTCGTTCACTTGTTTGGAAAATCTCGGTGACCTGAAAGCATGTTTTAGCTCCTGCACAAAATTTCTGATACTAGTTCCAGAATTAATTGATTAATTTGCCACTCTAGTATAGAGTCAGACTACTAAGTTACCTACTTTTCCTAATAGCATTTGTTATATCATAAAAGTTAATTCCCTCCAAAGGTGCGACCTTAACACACTTGATTATTTCTGACAGGAGTAGAGCTTGCTAAAGCAGTTCCAGTTCTAGAAGGACCATCCATACTCTCAAAACCAAGTAATTCTTCATTTAGTTGCAAGTCAGAGGTAATTCTATAAGCACCTTTATCAGTTCAATGGCTTCTCCTCAGAACGAGAACTAATATTTTCTAATTCATAAACTACAACTGGAAGTAGTTTATTAGATCAAGATTTAGTACATGCTTAATACTTAGATGCAGAAAACATCAAGCCTAAATGGTGTTCATGTAGTCAGAGAAATCCATGTCCAGTCATCTCTAACAAATGCACACATTTTGCAGGAACTGTATCTTCATGCAGAACTGACTTATGCTTGATTAGTTTGTGTTGTTGTTATGTTTGTTTACCACAAGAAGGATATACAGTTTTCTCAAAGTTATATTCATAATGATTGTCGAATTCCATGCAGGATCTATATATGCTGGAAGGTGTCAATCAAAAAAAGAAGCCCCTGCAAATAGACAACTTTTTGTCATTCTTGCGATTTAATAAAAGAAAGATATAAAAAGTGCATTATGGATATCGCTACTCGATCCCTTATTTAAACATCAATTTTACTTGTGGTCCTATAATTTTGCATTTAATTAGAAGCCATCAGCTGCCTATGTTCTTCTAAGTGTGACACAGGTTGTGAATGTTTAGCATCTTGAATGGGTTGTGGCATTGGTTTTGTCAAGTGTCAGATGGGTTGTGGCTAAAAAATCCTCAAGAAAATCAGGTCTTCTAACCATATTTCTTGTTTGTAGAATCCTTTAATATGACCTTTCCGCATCACCAAAACAAAGTTGGTCCAAAATATTGTACATTGGAGCCATCCATCCATTATAGGTAAATCATAGTTCAGCATTATTTGCAATCTCTAGGAGGAGAAAACTACTTGAGTAAATGATGAACCTAAGTTGTAGAAGTCCTTTGTTTTTAACTTCATTAACAGGCTATATCGACTGGGCAATGTTGGCAATGACAAAAGAAAGATCATTTGGGAATTCAGTGATCCAAAAGAAACATGGAATTGCCAAAATATAGCAATCCCCATGATATAACTTGGTAACTTATTTCAGTTTATTGCATTCTGAGAATAACCTGCTCAAGTTGTTTAATGTTGTGCAATAATCCAATGAACAAATTTATACATATTCTTAAGATGTCAGGCTGAAGACAACATGAAGGTATGATTGATGATTCAAACTATGTTTACTGAGCTATAGTCAACTATTCAAGATCTATGTCCAACAAACTGATGTATCTATCATACTCTTTCTCTGCAACAAAGGATTATTAAGTCAGGAATAGTCAAATGTTAACTATCAATCTTTACTTAAATGACAATCTCCAAAGATTTTACCTGGCAATGGAGCCATTTTCTTGCGAAACGAGGAAGGGTCATGGACGTGCTCTCTTACGCCGTCAAAGGCCAGCTTTAGCTTTGATCGCCGTCCGCCAACAACACGACGTCCCAGAGTTTGCCGGCACCGTCCAAAGCCGGCCACACGATCCGCAACCATGTCGTAGGCGAAGACGTCGAGGTCCTCATCTTCTCCGGCTCCACCATCGCCGAGACTGGGGATTTCTCGATTCCTGGGAACGATTCTTGGATTTGAACCGGAAAAGCCCAAAGGTTGTTAGATCCGAACCACCATATAAACTGAGGTAGTCCTTACCTCCTATCTATATTATATATGATCATTAAATTGGTAAACATTTCAACAACCGACCTTAGCTCAGTTGGTAGAGCGGAGGACTGTAGTGGTCACAGATAAATCCTTAGGTCGCTGGTTCGAATCCGGCAGGTCGGAATTTTTATAATATTTTTATTAACATCGTATGTTTAATATAATATATAATTTTCTAATCATCGCTTATAGATAGGATTTGGTCTTATATTTCTTTTAGGACCGTTGAACATTTTTTTAAAATATTGTTGGAAAAAACATCGTATACCATCAGGTCGGATTACCAGCGGTTCAAAAGAATATCTATATAATTTCGATTATATATTATTAGATTTTTTTAAAAAAATGTTGTTAGAAAAAAACACCATCCACCACCAAGTTAGAAAAAAAAAACACGAGACATGCAAGAAGCAAAAGCCGTATTAATGAGCGTGTTACGTAGATTTCCGATTTTTCCAGTTCCGCACCCGCAAAACACTGGGTTAGGTAGGCAGGTAGGTAGGTAGCACATTTACACACCGGCATGTATCCTCCGGCGTAGTGAAAAATATATATAGCCTAGGAACCAAGCTGCTGCAAGGAAAAAAGGACCAAACACCGCAGAGAAATCTTGAACCACACCTTTGTGACCGGTCATACATCTCAACACCCAGCGCCATCAAATTACATCCATGTTCCCGAGACTGAATAGATAAGCTACCTTTCATCAGTTCCCACTATGCTGATTCATCTTTTCCCCAGATTTTCATTACTGAAAAAAAAAAAACACCGCAACAGTGTTTCCAACTCATGTTCCAGCCATATGCAAGCAACCGAAACCAGATTGACGCCTGGCATGTTCTGGAATCAGCTTGTTGATGAGATCTGGTGATGCTCCAGCTAACTGCGAAGATTAAAAAACTGGCCATTATGTCTACCGGTTTCATGCATTTTCAAATTGCTTAATTTCTAATATCTGCAGATAAACAACCAGAACCCTAGGTCTCCTGTCGTTTTCGATCCCAACCCTTGTCTTACAATCCCTTCAAGCGAGATCATCGATGTCAATGGGCCACAAAAATTAATTTCACAGGTATCGAAGATTAATCCAAATTTCTCCACCTCATCAAACTCCCAATTGTCAAAGCTAACAAACTCCACATCAGTTGAAACAATTTTTTTTCTAAATTATAACTCTTCCATGCAATCACCAATCAGACCCCAACATGACTGGAAGATACCTTCTTGCATGCATGCGGTGTGATATATAAAGATTACTTCTCGCCGTGTCTACAAGTGAATGCATCCATGCATGACATGTGATATATAAAGATTGGTGTTGCATCTATGCTGTAAACAGCAAAGCACATACAACATAGTGCAGTGTGTAACATGTAAATGTAAAACAAATATATGCAGCATTCAGATTTCTTTTTATTTTTAGCATTTTATGCATTATGTTCAGTGAAGGAAAAAAAGTATCACGTGGGAAAAAAAAAATTATGGACATGAATTCAAAAAAGTTAGATGCTTACTTCTTGTTTAAAGTTATAAAGAGGAGGAAGAGGGCGACCATTTGGCAATCGTGCATTGGGTTCTCGCAGTTCATCAAAGAAGGGATGGGCGCATGCTTCCAACTAGACAAAAGATCAAGTTGAGAAAGAGCAGAGAAAAAACAACAGAACTTTGCTCTACTATGCATGAATCAAAATGATCAAGGATTTCACAATTACAAATTTCCAGATCCGATTATAATCCAGTTTAAATTCTAATCCAGTAGATAGCTGTAAGTTATTTTGTAACTTAGAAGTGGAGTACTTACTGCAGTGCAACGAAAACTTGGGGAGTATTGGAGGAGGCGTGACGTAAGATCTATCGCTTCTGGCGGCATTCGCTTGTGGAAAATCTGAAAATCACAATTTATTATAGTTCTAACACTTATATAATATGCACAGTTACAAAAAACTGTCTAAATAAGACAATAGAGAACTCTTTCAAGAAATGTTGATGGTGAATCTGAATTATTTGGCTCTGTGAACTACTGAACCAAGTTGGACGGTTGCCAATTTTTCCATGATCAAAGACGAACTTCGATATACAGGACAAAGATGATAGTAGCTATGTGACCAATTAATTTGGCAAAGACATGCCAACCATACATTTGCATCTCGCTGAAGTCAAATATAGAGGAGGAAAACCACAGTGTTACAATCTAAAGCTTATGAAATGTTTTTGGCATGGGATTCAAGGGATGATGCATATCTCTGGCAAACTCAAAATATAGGAAATAACCAAAATAGTTGTTCTGCATGCTCAAAGAAATGCCCACATTTGCATAAGAAGGTTCTAAAACAGTTTCAGAATAGCCTAGGAGATCAAAGACTTGTAACTGATTCTCCAGCCATGGCTAGCTTACTTCTGCTGATCCTGTGATATAGAAATCAATATTGATGAAATGCAAAGCTAGCTCACAAACCATACAGTTCATTCAAAGTTAAAATTTAACCATAGTGGTATGCTAGCACCTTTGTTCTGAATATCATGATACTCGATAAGATAGATTACACAAAATAAAGCCATGCAGTCATTTGAAAAAGGGTGCACCTACCTTATGCCATGGATGAGCTTTTATCTGTGGAAATCTGAACTCTGTGTAGCCAGGATTCATGCACCGAATTTCCTCACGGGTTGGAGTTCCAAGAACCTACAGAAAAGCAACTCATATCCTATTTTACACATGATCAGAAGAATCCCAAATTAGTTAATAACTGCAGACCACGAAATCAAACCTTGATTATCTCAACAAGCTGATTGACAGCACTGTCTCCAGGAAATAATGGCTGACAAATGATTAAAATTCTGTCATGCTACATTAAATTTACAATCTTAAAAAATTTGTCATATGACATTAGATTATAATAATGCTTACCTGGCCAAGTAGTAACTCAGCAAGAACACAACCTGCTGACCATATATCTATGGATGTTGTATATTCTGTTGCGCCAAAAATAAGCTCTGGAGCACGGTAATAGCGAGAACAAATGTAAGATATGTTTGCTTCACCATTAACCTGGTATAAGAGTTCAATTAACAGAAAATGAGGGTGACATTAGAAACCAGAAAAGAATGTATCCAAGAATAGTACTGTATAAGTGCAAGATACTCTGCTAATTAAGTACAATGTTGAATATACAAGTAGTGCAGAAATTCTAAGGCTAAGCGTTATATTCCGGAATAAGCAAGGGGCATTACATGATTGACCTGGAACCATTTGAAAAAGGGCAATCCAACATACAAGCTCTTGCCAATGGAATTTGGGGGTCAATATGCATAGTCTTACTCCCACAAGAGTTTCAACAGAATTAATTTGCTTGACAATAAAAAATATGCCAAGGGCAATACAAACAAATATAAGCTAAAAACATCTACATCTGGTATGAGGTGAAACATGAAAATGCAATGCCTCATCTAATCATTTCACACAACCATGACAATAATGCAGTATCTGCTGAAGCCAGTGCAGATATTTCTTGTACGTTTCTTTTCAATCTCAAAACAGCTAGAAAGAAGAAAGCAAAGGACAAGAACTCAAGTTACCCGCATCAAACACTCAAAATGTTTATGTACGAAATCCAATAGCCAGACAAGATGTTCATGGATATATCATCATAATGATCTTCAGAATATACCACCTAATAAACAGAGTGTTGATTTAACAATTCATATGGTTATATAAGATTACTCATCTTGGTTATTACTCAATAAATGCAGGTTCCCCTTCAGAATGAAAATAAGTGGCAATGGTACAGGGTGGGAGACAGGAATGACTCAGACAGTTCAAGACCCTGAATTCCTATGTTGACCTACACAATCAGTTTACAGTTAGAAACACATATCCATTTATTTTACATGATGCCTCTCCATCTGGCAAAAAGAAAAGGTGTGACTTAGGCAGAAAAAGAAAGTTTTAGTACAGCACCAATTGTCTTAATTTTTGGGCATTTGTGTTCCTCTGATAATTGCATATCTTTGTTTAGGTATCTTAAAAGAACTAAATTGTGATACATACTAAGAAAACTCTGGGTGCATTTCCGTTTCATCAACTTAATGGAGAACCCATAAGCAACTCATCTGTTACCAAGTTTATTTTTCAGGTACAAGATTAACCATTTAAGGATCCATTCTCTTATTGTTAGATTTTGGATGCGGAATGGTGGTAGGCATATTTCAATCAGGAGGGGCCATCACTAATCATAATTACCTAACCAACTTGATACACCAAAAAATGTCCAGAATTGAAAAGCAAAAAGCTATAAATTATGTTACAAGCAAAACATACCAGAACTTTTGCACTTCCAAAATCACATAGCTTGACTTGGTGAGTGAGGGGATCTACCTGCAGAATGCACAATTGAATGTAAAAGGAAAAGACTTTTCCCAAAAAAGAGAACAAATATAACAGCTTCTCAATAATTTAACTTACGGACACCTACTGAATGTAAAGAGAAAAGACAGTTTCACCAAAAAAATAAAAAATTTAACAGCTTCTCAATAGTTTAAGTAATGGACACCTACGAGAATATTTTGTGGCTTCAAATCTCTATGACAAACTCCTGGAACAGTATGGATATAAGCCAGACCTCTAAATATCTGCACAGATAATTCAACTAAACATTCGAATGAATATCATATAGAAATATAAAGAAGAAAACCAGCAAAAATACCTGATATGTATACAACTTCACAAAGATGAGTGGCATCCTCTGATTCACATTGCTATAATGCCTTAGGACGCCATAAAGAGATTCAGGCACATATTCCATAACTAGGTTAAGGAAAAGCTCATCGCTACTTGTGGATGAGAAGAAACAATGCTTTAGAGAGATAACATTTGGATGAGCCATTGTGCGCATCAATTGAAGTTCACGATTTTTGTATCTTTTGTCCTGTAAAACCTTCTTTATTGCAACTGTTTCTCTCGTTTCCAAACATTTGGCCTGCCACAAATAACCACATTTGAATCTAGAGAATAAACTGGTACCACATCTATAAAAATGTCTTAACACAAAACCTGGAAGACAATTCCGAATGAGCCCGTCCCCACAACACGCTCTGCCATATAACTAAGGGTCTGCATGCCAAGTAAAAGGCATCATAACATGTGAATTAAAACAGCAAGTCTCACTTGGTATATCATCATACATAGTGCCTTTGGCTTCTAACCTGCTTTGGTTCGCCATTCTTGCCTCCGATGGTGGTGGAGATGATATGACCAGTTACTGGTTCATTCCCCTGGTCACCAGATGCTTGCTGTGCTAAATTGTTGGAAATTGGTTAAATGGAAACTGCTAACAATTCATTTAATATAAAAGAAAATAAATAAAACGAAGCAGCTGCAAATTTAATTGCAACAAGAATCATATTCCAACAGGCAACATGTATATGATATGTCCAACGTGAACAAAAGTACAGGGACTATGCTGACAAAAAGCGCCAGCCGAGCTTACAACAAAAAGGCACGTTAAGACTGTGAAGGAAAACTGAAAGGACAAGCAAGATCTTGAAAAAGATCAACAAATAGGTGAAAGATTCCAGATCAAACAAGAAAAAGACCACAGAAGCGTTACGTGGGAATAAATTAGAAACATTCTAGTCAAGCAAACTATAGACAGTACGAATAACAAGCAACCGGACGATCAAGAACATCAATGGTACAGAAGGATTTTTCCACGTGAAAGAACAGAATCAGAGGAATAACACTAACCATAATACAAGCAGAAAATCATGAAAGAAGACTTTCTGAACCCTAAAGAAAACATACAAGGGGCTCAGAAGGAGAAGATCAGAAGACAAAATCCCGAATGTGATTACACCAACAAATCCACAGAAAACATGAAACAAATAAAGCGCCGCCGAAAAAGCAGACGTAGAAGAACAAATCTTGCAGCTTGTTAACAGGATAAACAAGAAAACGCCGACCACATAACGAGGGGGAAAATAACGAGAATTCCACCAATTTATCGGCCTAGCTGAAACCTAATTTGTCATCAAGATTCGCAAGAGCAACACTGAAAGATCCTCTAACAAGTAGAACCCCGAAAAAGATAAGATATTATCCCCAGAAAATCCAAAAACACGAAGAAATCGCTCCACATGCCATAGCAGTCTGCTCCGACGAAGGGAATTTCTGCGCACATCGCCTTTTGCGCTGATTGCAAAGAAATCCCAAAGTAAAAGGAGGAAAGGAGGTTAGATGGGGGAGGGAGAAGGGGGAGACCTTGTTGTCGGCAAATTCCGTACGGGGAGGTGGCGCGAGGTTAAGGGCGGCGGCGGCGGCGGCGGCGTGGCCGGGCGGTGGTGGGGGATGGTGAGGTCCCAGCGGCAGCGAAGCCATGTGGGACGCTTTTATGATGCAGACCGGAATCGGCGATCTTACGATCTGCACCTCTCTCTCTCTCTTTCTCTCTCGCTCTCCCTCCCTGGTTTGGTTGCCACTTAAGACGGTCCAACGTAGGCAGCAGACAACGAGAAAATTCCAACGATTCTCTCAAGCCATTATAGTTCCATACAGGAACAAATGTGAATGACACATTTTGCCACTACCACCACCCAACCTTGCTGAACAAGACTTCCAACACAACTATTCTTATCATCAGAAATCTACTAAAATGTTGTAATCGCAAGAACACGGTCAACGTGTTGACCAGCATAGAAATATTTGCGTGGACAAATTGGGTCGGGCTATGATTCCAGTCAAACCCGACTAAAAGTCCGACCACCAACATCCGAAGCCTATCTGCTCATAAGCTAATCCAACCATACTTGCAACAAGCATTCCACTGTGGAAATTGGGAGATACGCCGAATGTATACTAAGAACTAAAATAAAATTTAGTACAGTCCAGCCTCGATAATAAAGTTCAGACTCTTTGGATACCCCCAACAGGTAGGAGTGGTGGTGATCTGACTGCAGATGAAACATTTGCATCTCATGTTGGCACCAGACAACATATGAAAGTGAAGACCACCAGGATTATACACTAAGAATCTTATGCTTGAGGAGCTCTTCTTCGGTCACCTTGGGTAGCTCTTGATTAATCATCTTGAAGAATCTTGCACTTTAAAGGAGATCTTCATCAATCATCTTGGGTAGCTATAACAGTTGGCATCTACATGGAGCACTGCCCTTTGCTGTAATACCTGTATCTGCCAAATAGACTGGGTAAAAGAGAGGTACAAGAAGTACATTTGTTCCTGCAAAGCGACAAATTGGTCTCAGGCATAAATTTCCTAAAGAGAGAGTGAGAATATTAAACTTTCTTGTTTGACCATCAGAAGTAGGAAGAATCAGCAAGTTTCACCGTTGAAGATTGTTTCTACTGATAGGAGTGATTTGACCATAAATGTTGAAGATTGATCAAGCACCTCTCCGAAATCTCCAGTAACTTTGAATGCGTCATGAACTTTTGTCAAACTTTCTGACACCATATTTCTTTATCTCTGCTTCTCCTCTATTTTGCCGTTTGCAACTCAGAATAGAGAGCCTTCTTATGCACGGATGAAAGATCAAAGGCACTGTCAATGACCAATTTCATCAACCTAGTCACTTTTGTCATATCCAAGAGGGTCAGAAACATCTTTAGTGAAGCAAGTCCCAAAGAATCCTTCCTGTTACACAAATCAGCTCTGAAACTTTTTGCTGCCCTCTTATACACAAGGAACTCGTTTATCTTTTCCTGAAGTAACCACATAAAACGATACAAAGTGAGATGATAGAAACACGTGAAAAACTGTAGAAAGTAACATGAATGCAGGAGGATATGTAAAAATTCCTTGTAGTCATCTAAATCATCCTTATTATTATGGGTCTGCTGCTTCATATATGTTCCTAGTCACTTTCTCTTTGTCACTTCTATCAATACAACATTTTGTTGAGTAGACAAATATTTCTGGTAAATAAACAAAATTATATATGCAGTACTAAATTACACTGAACTTTCATCGATTTATCAATTGGATGACTGCAGACATCATGCGCTATTATGCATATTAGACAAACAGTAAGCAACAGTTTGCCCAATGGCACAACATAGTAGCACATATCAGGATAAAAACAATAAAGAAATCTGACATTAACATTATATGGTTCAATAGTTATCTAGAAAAAAAAAGTAACAAAGGCAAACTGGAAAAGGTAAATCTTAGGTCGAGGAAGCTCCTTAGGGCATTCAGCTGATGGAGATGAAGAAACCAACTTAACGAACCACCCTTTTGCAGCTTTAAGTATCATTTTTTGCAGCTTCAAAGCAATCTTTTCTTTTTTTCTTTTACAAAGGATAAGTGACGAATATGAGATTCGAGCCTAGGATCTAAAGATGAACTGTTAAAGTCTTTACCAACTATGCTAATCGACACATTCAACCAGAGCAACTTCAGTCACAGATTCAATAACATCCATCAGCATAATACATGACTAGGTCCTGGTGGTGTTCTATCAACGGGTGCTTTCTTAATAGTCAATATTTTGGAACATGAGACAGCAGGAGCTTTCTTAATACCCAATATTTCTTGTCATATTTCCTTGTCCTTACACAGGTAGCCTCCTAAATCGACCCTAGATAACCATATATTTATCTTTCAATCATCAAATACTTTGACATATCTATCAAATACTTCATTTGGACAGGAAAATATGTGAAAAGGAAACTTTGCGGTGATTTTGCATAAATTAGAAAAAGGGTAATTTAGATACTTCGTTGTAGAAAGGGTAGTCAATCCCATTAGACATAAATACCCTCTTCTTCATCCCCCTCTCTTAGTCTTCTCCTCTCCTTCTTCCTCCTCCTCCTCATCTTCTTCCTCATATGACAGTGTCAAGGGACAGCGAGCGCGGGCTGGGGGGGAACAATCGATCGATGGGGAGCATGAGCTGGGAGGCGACGATCAGCGGCAGGGTGCACAAGTGGTGATCATGGGGGATTTGGGGAAGGGAAAAAAAGAAAATGATAAAATCGGAATTAGAGAGGCTGTAAATAATTAAATATTATTTTATTAAGTTTTTAAAGGATTATGAATAGTAAGAGGTTGTCAATAGTAAAGAAGGGGCTCTAAATGGTAAGCTCCTGAACTTTAACCTCGGCTCCAACCATAAAACTGCCAATTCTACCACTGCTTAAGATTTTTTATCATCCTGTCAAGTCCCACGTTTCACGAATCAAGAACAGGTATAGTTTCAAATCCACCCGAACCCCCAAAGCCCATAATGTAGAGGATAAAGCAATTCCATGTGCAGCCAGAAAAAATATTGTGATTGAATAGGCAAAATAGAAACATAATCAAGAACACGGACAGAGAGAATAGCTAATTTGCTTGAACAGATTCAAGAATCTTGAACTGAAAAACGAACAAATCGAGAAACCTAAACATCACCTCCGGCTCGGTTGACGTAGGCGGTCTCAGCATCCGCGTGATCCACGATGCACAGCTGCTGCCCGGCAGAGGAGAAAGGGAGATGACGGGGAAGGGCGAAGACCGTAGCATCGCGGAAAGCGGCGGCGTAGGGATCCGAGCGACCGGGCTCCAAAGGGTTTCGTAACTCATGCCATCGTCGAGAGGATGGGATCGAGGAGCGGCCTCGAAGGAGGGGGGCCGTGGTGTCCCGTTAGGCGGCCGCCGCCGCCGCAATGTCGCTCGTGGCGCCTCCAAAGCCGTCTCGCCTTCATCAACCTTCTCTTCCTCCTCTTCCGTCTCGCCCAAGTACAAAAGACGGGCGTGCGATCGACTCGGTGAGGATCGAGACGGGTTCGGGTTCTAATTCAGCATGTGGTCGAGCTAAACCGGTTCGATCTCTGAACGGGTCATCAGTGAATGATATCGGGTCAATATTCAAGATCCGATCGATCAAATCAAATACAATTCAATCTCGCATTGGACCCAACACCATAAGAATCCGAGAAGCCGAATACGATAGTGACAACAAGACATGACCCGAGTCCGCTTGTATGTCGAACGAGCTAAGATTGGACCGATAAAACCACAAAAGCATCAAAACGGACCTAATCGACTCCGTCGCTTACTGCTAACCACACTTAAAAACACTAAGCTTGAACTAAAATATATATATCTAAAAAATTAAAGGAATATTATAATCTAAATTACTCTAATGTCAATTGGTGTTTATATTTTTCAAATGTATTATAAAGTCACATAAATACTAACGTGATTTTTTTTTTACCACTCATACATTTCAGTTTACTAATTTGGACATTGGATTAGAAAATTTCTCTCGAGTTCGATGATGACACCTTAAGAGCTCGATATTTTCATGTCAAAAATACCTTAAAGAATCCTGTACATACGAGTCCAGACTATATTGAATTGATAAGCCAACAATTTTTTTTTTCAACATATAGTTTATAAAAAAATATAATATTTATGAACTATAAAATAATTATGAAGTCTTTTTTTACACGTGTATCCTCGTGGTATCCACGTATTCAACAAGTACAAATACATAACGTGTATTTTATTTAGAGTATATGCTACCTTATCCAAAAATAAAAGGTGGATGATGCGAAGTCAACATGAACGGATCACCGTCAACTTCACATCGTTTCTTCCACCATGTCGTACGTGCTTTATTTTTCTTAATATTCTTTACATTTTTCAGGCAATTTGTTGTAGCTTTGCGTGTCCACCGCATCAACGTTTTTGCACGTCTATTGAAAAGAGAATTATTTTGGTACATTAAAACGTTAATAATTTATGTCACGCCAAATCAGATCCACATTAGATTGATGTCACCTACTTCGTTTGAGAAGAACGAATGCGTATTATATTTGATCATACTCGATGTATAAGCAACGAGTCTTATCGATTGGAAGCTCGTCGTATTCATCTGTGTTTGACTCGATTTTAATTAATGCAATCGAAAGATGAGCTGGATTTGAACTAATAAGAAGGTAGTTGTAATGAATTGCTATGTTATCCGAAATCTCTTTCATAAAAGTATGTTGTACAAATGGACAGATGACGTTTCATGATCATCTAGAAATTGTATGAGTCATAAGAGTGGCATTTCTATTTAATAAAAGCTTGATGAGATGTGGAATTCTCTGCAAACCAACTAGTTTCATGAAAGAAAAAAATAATTCAAAAAGTTAATTTATTAGAAAAGCATATAAATTATGATACATAAAATATTTTCTAATGAACTAAGCATCTGTTGGTATAAAAATCAAATAACGATAAATCATATATAAACGGATCATCATCGTCCGAAATATCCATCGAATTAGATTCATCTTTTCTTATCATTCTTCTTATTCTTCTTTTATGATTCATAGACCATTATAAATAATAAAATAAAAACTTTAATACATAATCATATATTTTTTTTCTATTAATTAATAATTAATTTAATTATATTTATAATATATCTTACCTAATTGAATAGAATCACACTATCTTACCTAATTGAATAGTATCGCAATCAACATATCATTCTTAACTCCTTTACATGGACATCTCTATTTTGAGGTGTGCCTCAATATCTTTGTTACTAGAGTTATATCGATCCTATCATGCTTTCTCAACATGATATTTTTTAAATATTAAAAAAATTATCTGATATATAAACGGATCATCATCAGGTTCGAAAGATAAAGATATCGATTGAACTAGACTCGTTTTCTCATCCTTTCTTATCATTCTTTTTATGTTTTTAGATTCACATACCCTATAAATAATAAAATAAAAACTTTAATACATACTAATCAAGGACTTTCTTTCTATTGACTAATAATTAATTTAATTTAATTTATAAATATATTTTACTTAATTAAATAGGATCATACCATCTTACCTAATTGAATAGTTACAATCAACATATCCTTCGTCAACTCCTCGACATCTCTATTTTGATGATGTGCCTCAATATCTTAGTTACGGAAAAGTTATACGGATCCTATCATACTTTTACTTTAACATGATATGTATAATCTTACTTTAACAGAAAAATTGGAGAGATGAGCTCTCTCATCAATTGGAGCTCAACAAGAGAAACGCTCTCCATTCAAGAATGACACGAGAAAACACATGAACATGATCCATGGACATTGTAACGTATAATATGAAATTAAAATATATTTTTCTTCTGTATCCCATAATCCAATCCACAAAATAATTTATATGTTTCTCTACAAAAATTCAACCCTGAGATCCAATTTCCATTCAATAGTAGATAAGGGATAATTAAATAAAGAAAAGGGAACACAAATGAGTCGAGGCCAATTCATCTAATCAAATAGATAAGGACAAAAATTAATTGAACCCACAATAAAAATAATCTAATTACCTAACCGTCCTCAGCTCTTCCACCGCAAAAGGAGACGTCGACCACGATTTCGTGGCTTTGTGGAGTTTCGCGCCACCCGCGACTTTAGTTACTGCTCGAGCAACGACTTGGGCAACGACGAGACTAACCTCCTCCCGCCACTCGTAACCTACGCACGCGTCCCCCAGTGCTCACCCGTCAGTGGGGTCCAACGGAAATGTTCGTGCAGCGATGCAATGAGCTTGCACCAAGTATTCAGCCGTTAACGGTCGTCGAGGAGCGTCCGACGACTGCTTCTTTTCCGTCCCTTCCGAATCGAATCGGCCGTCGCCTTCTTCTTCTCCCTCGCAAAGTCACCGCCAACGCCTCTATATGTACCACCCCCGACTTCCACCATTTCCCATTCTATTGTTCCATTTGCTTTACTCCCCAGAATCCTTTCCCCATCGGAGTACGAGCTCCCAAGACAAACAGGGAAGAAGAGAGCTTCGAGGTCGCCATTGGAGGATCAGAGCCTCCGTATCCATGGCAGCATCCAGAAACCAGCCGGATAAGCGGGCGAGGAAGGAGCCCAAGATCCTCCTCGGACGCTTCGAGGTGGGGAAGCTCCTCGGCGCCGGGACCTTCGCCAAGGTCTACGTCGCTCGCAACGTCCGCACCGACGAGCTCGTGGCGATCAAGGCTCTTGACAAGGAGAAGATCGTCAGGTGGGGGCTCGTCGCGCACATCAAACGGGAGATCGCCATCCTCCGCCGCGTTCGCCACCCTTACATCGTGGAGCTCTTCGAGGTCATGGCCACCAAGACCAAGATCTACTTCGTCATGGAGTACGTCCGCGGCGGCGAGCTCTTCTCCCGCGTCGCCAAGGGCCGGCTCCGGGAAGACACCGCCCGCCGCTACTTCCAGCAGCTCATCTCCGCCGTGGCCTTCTGCCACGCCCGCGGCGTCTTCCACCGCGACCTCAAGCCCGAGAACCTGCTGGTCGACGAGAACGGCGACCTCAAGGTCTCCGACTTCGGGCTGTCGGCCGTCGCCGAGCAGAGCCGAGGCGGCGACGGCCTGCTACATACCTTCTGCGGGACACCAGCGTATGTCGCGCCGGAAGTGCTGTCGAGGAGGGGCTACGACGGCTCCAAGGTCGACATCTGGTCATGCGGCGTTATCCTCTTCGTGTTGATGGCCGGATACCTCCCGTTCCACGACCGCAATATCGTGGCGATGTACAGAAAGATCTACAAAGGCGATTTCAGGTGCCCGCGGTGGTTCTCGCAGGACCTCGTCCGGCTTCTACGCCGCCTGCTCGACACCAACTCCCGGACCCGGATCACGATCCCGGAGATCATGGAGGATAAGTGGTTCAAGAAAGGCTTCCGCCATGTCCAATTCTACATGGACGACGACCAGCTACACACCCTGGACGATCCCCTGCTGCAGATCGATGAACAGAGCGAAGCCACAACCGCGTGGGAAACCGAATCCGACTGCTCGGTTGTCTCCTGCCCCTCGGCATTGTCCGATGACAGGCGGGCGGCGCGGCAGGGGATGCCGAGGCCGCCAAGTCTCAATGCATTCGACATAATATCCTTCTCCAGGGGATTCGACCTCTCAGGGTTGTTCGAAGAGACCGGGGAGGAGACCAGGTTCCTGTCCAAGGAGCCCGTACCCACCATTATATCGAAGTTGGAGGAGATCGCCAAGGTGGTGAGTTTCACAGTGAGGAGGAAGGATTGTCGAGTGAGCTTGGAAGGCACGAGAGAAGGGGAGAGGGGGCCATTGACAATTGCAGCCGAGATATTCGAGCTCACACCATCAATTGTAGTGGTCGAGGTGAAGAAGAAAGCAGGAGAAAGGGAGGCATACGAGGAGTTCTGCAACAAGGAGCTGAAACCTGGGTTGCGGCACCTCGTCTACGAGTCGATCCACGCAACCAAAGCTGCTTCTCAACAGTGCCCTAATTAAAAAGGTAAATTCCTCTTCTTCTCACTTACAACGTTCTTACAGTAGATCCCACAGATTTGCTGTTTACTCTGCTACTACATTTGATTCCTGTCTCAACTTGATCTTAGTGTGAGAAATTAAACAAAGACCAAGGAAACTGCAATATGTGCATGACCAGAGTACCTTTAAATTTAAATGATAAAAGTCAGGATCTGTAGCTTATATATGTGATCGAATTAAGATATCATGTGCATTTTCATTTTTCTAAACTTTTCTATGGTTGTTGAGATAGTGACTTATTTCTTCACACACCAAAAAACAAAAACAAAAAGATTTAACTTTATAACTATACTTTAGTTGAAGAACTCAGTTTCCTTGTAATTGGACAAGTCCTTTGTAAATCATATGGCAGATCCCAAATGACAGCCTAGAAAATCCATTGGAATTTTATGAATAAGCTAGCTTAATATCTTATTTGATTTTGGTTTCACAATAAAGTATTAGAGCTCAGAGATTCCACTTCTTTTGTTTAGCCAGACTGTTCCCAATGGTTATGACTTAACATGAGTACAATCTTCGAATTGGTAAAACCAGTGTAGTTCTGGGGATGAGAAGTAGCTACATGAACATGCAAAACTCAAGTGGTTATCTGGGGAGTTTTTGGTTATTGAAAACATGAAAGAATAAAAGCTCCAAGCTTTTGAAGTTGATAAAAAAAAAAAAAGATTCATATTAAATGCATTGCCACTATCAAGAAACATGGTTTCTTAACTGGAAAGTAATCAGTATTCTATTAAAACATTAGGGAGAGGTTCCTGGCAAAAGGCATCTCTTCAATGTTGTTTCTTCTTGGACATTAGTGATTATGCTAGGACACATGTGGACAAGGAAACACACACACTTAAACATTATCATGATTTTTTATGTAGTATTGTGACTCTGTTCTGTGACCCAACTACACTGATATGATAACATTAATGGAAAAGAAACATCATCCTAATCACACATATTTCTGGTTATTCTTTCAGAAGCAACACATGGCTTTTCTTGTGTTTAGGCACAACATGGTAACTAACACAAACCAGTGAGAAAACTTGTGCATATTTTGATTGTTCAAGTAGGGTTTATAAGTCCTTATGTTTTTCTTAATGAATATATTGTTAATACTTGATTGCATTCTAGACTTGATAATTTGAACTGTCCTAGTTATTTCATTTATCTCATGACTCTTTTAAGCTATGAGCTATACAGTTATGCTGGGCTCACAGGATTCCTCTCAAAGGTTCAACACTGGTTATTTTGAGTGTCACAATTTCTAAATTAAATGAGGGAACTTTGTATATAGTTAGACTTATGGATTTTTGGACATACAAGTTAGAGAGTACAATTTTTTTCTTCCAACTTGTACAACATTAATGTCTTAATGAGATTGTATGTTTGTAGTGATTGTATAACTTGGCATAGGAAATGAGCAAGAAAAGTAATAACATTCAATTGCTACTTAAACAAGTTGCTTCAGCAAGCAAAAAGACAGAACAGCCCCCGTTCGGTTGGCCTTTTGCTTATATTATCTGCTCTTTTGTGGACAAAATGCATCATTAAGGCAGTGGAAATATGCAGAAAGAGTTTATGTCAGTTAAAAGATTTTACTTTTGAGAGCCATATGGGTTATTGCATGAGTGTATGAAGTTCATTCCATCAGAAACACCCATTAAATCATTATACTCTTCCTATAGATTCCTTGGTGTCAAGAGTATAATTCTTTTGTGTTGCTTGAGTGCATCTGAAAGAATCAGAACAAAGTGACAGGTTGTATGGAGAATGTATCTGTGTCATTCCTGTCTACAATAGATTTTTTTCTTCGAAAATAAATCTGATAGAAGAATTGAAATGATCAGTACATGCATTGTATGTTATCTTCTTATCCAACTATTTCCCATCTTCTTAACTTACTATTTAATATTAGATAATTACGGACTTCTAAGTAACTTCATTCTGTTATATTCAGGAAATATTTATTGAAGGCCTTTCAATCTCAGAGCTTGGGTTGCGTGTAGCTGGTGAGGTTTTTTGAGTTACCCATTCATTCGAACTCGAGCACAGGCCGTTCAGGTGACCCATTTTGAGTTACCCCGTCGTAACGAGCTCTCCATATCAAAAGAACTACCAAGCTTTGGGAAAACTACTCGTATGATGTTATAATGTGGTATAATCAATCCTTGTGATGCTAATTCTAATTCATTCATATGTGGAGAATGCCTTGCTAATTCTTTTTTTAATGAGTGTTTCTTTTGCTATTAATGCTGATTGCATCAATCTATGTAAATCCGAAGTATTCTTAGTGTAAGGATTTTGTATCTGATAATTGTATCATCTTTTTGTCTACTTTGGATATAATTCCATGCTGTCTAAGTCAAAAACAAGAACCAACAACAAGTTTCTGATAGCTATGTCATGAATAAGATATTTAAAAAAGGTTAAGAAATTAAACAGACACATAAGATATATCTGAAGACATGGAAAAACAAAAGGCTAATAAATAAACTCCAATAACTTAATACGCTATGCATTGAAGAAAAAGAAAACAGCAACAGGTGTACACTGATTATTATTGTTTTCTTTTGGTTATTTGTTTTGTTTAAGATTTAGGAACCAAATTGCAGCTGGAATTACTTCATATGAAAATTCATGTTCTTATTTAAAGACTCAAAAAATTTAGCAACTACCGAATTATTGAAGAAGACAGAAACTGCAACAAATCATATCCCCCACATGACCAGTGGACTTCCTACGAGAGCAGGCAAATCAGGGAAAACACTACATCAAAAAGACTTGATACTGCTTACCTGAAAACATGCCATCATGCGTCACCATCCGCATGATTCGGTGCTTGTGATGCGAATGATGAAATGCCCCGTCTACCCAATAAACCTGTAGACAAAGGAACTATCAAAGAGGACAAAGTTAGGTCTCATGTCACTGCATTACTTAAGTGAGACGTCTTCCCTTGACAAGCATGATGTGAATAAAAATCCTAATGCTCACAAGCAGCCAATGGACTTCCACCGACCATTGAACCAAACCTCATATTCCACTAATCATGCATGCCCATGCCCACCATTATATATCTAACTGGCACGAGGACACTACATCCGGACACAATCTCACTTTTAATAGTAACAAACTTCAGAATACTTGCATAGAACAATCAGTCCATCTAGTATATCTACCAAAACCAGAAATTGATGATCAAACAACTCTGCTGCTCTGAAGTGTTCTTGCAGAATGCACACCTCAAGAAAGAAATATATGTGGTGGGTATAGGTCAACCTAGAGCTTCAATATAGAAATTGAAGCACCTTTTAGCAAGCAGAAATTTTCTAGATAACTTGCAAATGTATTATTCTAAAGGAACTGAAACCACAAGATTGCAGGAAGAGACATGACATAATTGGCTCAGAAAAAAATTCTGCCATGATGACAAAAGGTTGCCCTATATTCACCTGAAGAAACAAAGAGTTGACATCAAATCCAACCTAAATGGAGACAAGATAGAAGTGCCATATGCATTGCACAGAAAGGCCACTGATCTTTGCAACCACTGCCTAGGCTTTTATATTAATTCAACAGGTCACTGGATTTGTGGCTAATTTATATCAAGTGGAAAATAGAACAATGGCAGAAAAGAATATGATTATAATGGTTTGTCCTAATGATATTGCCATATGTAGCAATAGGAGGTTACTACAACAATATTAGACTGACTTGTGCATAGGGATGTTGCTGAAAGAATTCTTTTACTAACTCACACCAGTTTTCACAAGACTCAAGATGGAGTTCTGTGTCAAGCCTTTGGAAAACATTTCCCATCCTCAGTGCCTCTCACCTCTCAAACTCATAGACAGAACCAACATTGGCATGCCTCTAAGGCACCAACCTTAAATGAATAATTATAGGACTATTTTAGGAACACCTTCCGATCAAGGAACAACTAACAAATTCATAATCAGGTAACTGATATATCGCATTGTAGTTAACATCAGAAGCTGCATAAGTATACAGCCCATCAGATCATTTACTCTAGCAAATTCATCAATACAAATCCAACATTTTGTAATGACTAATCTACAAACTGTTGTCCCTTACTGAACTCAGACAATCCATTTTAAAGAGATGACACAATTGTAACATCATTTTAATCATGAACTGCCTCACCATGGCACAGGCAGATGCTGCAAAAATTGCACATGACACAGTAGTACACTCACCTATGGTGTGCCATGTCATTTCTGTTACTGGTCCATGCAGAACTTGAATCTTACATTGAACAGGCTGATACCACACCCTATGACAATTTCTCAGAGAGCACCTACTGCATATGGGGCAGCACAACAAGGTTGATCCTTGACTTAAAAAACAGCAAAAATTAGATGATATGGCTTCGTCACACCAACCAACAGTTGAGTCTGTTTTCAAAAAACAGAAGAAAAGATTCATCTCCTAGAAACCATTTCCAGTGCATATAAATTCTTGAAAAAAGAAATTGGATCGATGCATCCAATTAAGTTATTATTTTGTTAAGGCCATTTTCTACACTCAAACAAAAGACAAACCATTGACACATCATGACCCCTTAATCATGCCAATCATAAAATCCTTCTTTTAGCTCATCTGTTCTATGATCCAAGACCTGATGTGAAATTAAAGAAACCAAGAAAAATTTAGAAAAGGAAACTTAACAGCCTCATTGAACTGAAAACGGAAACCAAATTGTAGACAATTGATCAAAATTTTAATAAAATAACAACCACAATGGTAAGCACATCTTCTTTGACATGCAGCCCACCTACCTTCTCAGCTCAAATTTGTAACATCACAGTATCTTTGAAAGGAACTCCTTCACTAGCCACAATCAAATGCTACCAACATTAAAAAATGAAAGGGGAAAATAAGCACTAAACTGCAAGATTCACAAAAAGAATAAAAAATAAAATGGAATACAAGAGAATAGATGAAAAACGAAGAAAGTAAACAATACTAGTCCAGACTGCAGCACAACTATACTAACTTGCGACCTGTTTTTCTTTTTTTTACTGAATGGAGAATTTCGTAAGAGACAAACTATTGGTCCAGAGAAACATTTTATCCATCTTAATACCATTGATTGCAAAATGAATCCTAATTGTCACTCCCTTGCTTTAGAAATCATCCTCTTCAGAATATAAAGAGCTACTCTATAGAGTATAATCTTTTTGTGTTACCTTCATTTGCACTCTTTCATGTAGATGCACTTGACCCTAGTATCGGCTACTTGGATGTTCCTTGAAACATCAAGGAGACAGATGACATGAATTCATCCATTGGCCAATTGATATCTTCTTATCATATATGATCATGTTATTTCTAAATACAATTCATCAGTCCAACAGAAACATTTAAGGTCTCATCGGCTGGTCAGAACTGATATGTAGATCCACAGAGCAAATATAGCTGATACACAAGGAAGATGCTGGTACATTAGCAACATGTCTACATAGAAAAAATCTATGAGAAGCAGCTCCTACAAAAAATCTGACAATGAAGGGCTTTCAGCAAGCTTATGGAATCTAATTCAGACTGCATGATGCATCCAAAAACCAGGCTCTCTTTGTGGTCAAATGAGATATGAGATCATAAACTTCATCAATATACAATTTGTGCTGTTTTCTTTCAGAATTCTAGTGGACCACAACATAAGACATCTTACAGGTTAGTACTAAAATAATACTAACCTGGTATGACTCTGAACAGATTCCCTCATAGATAGACATAAAACACATACTACAACCTCAATCTTCCTTCGCATTTTTTCTTCTTGATGGTCTACGAAGCATTTGCTATTTGAAAAAACCGACAAAATATCCAAGGATCCTCAAGAGCTTATCAATAAAAAACGTTATACTTGACGCATGTCCAATTACCAAGAAATTGAACGTTTGAACTTGCATCTGCTATCATGGATAACATGGGTTATTGTTCAAAACAATGTACTTATTTCTGTTGCTTAAGCAAGCCCAAGAATTGTTCGTGATTCTTGGCAACTGATATGTGATGATCAGCTATAAGATTTCTTTAACACTGACCAGCCAAAAAATTAAAATTCTCCATCACACATCATTACTGAGCAAATAGTCTACATCAAAGGTGAAAAGAATAAATCATATGTCTATCAATAGAATGCTTAATAATACACAATCAATCCATCAAAACATATAATATTACATTACATTCATAATGTGTACACCCAGTTGCAACTTGCAACTGACTTACAACAACGTGCTTATTGCACTTTAGTACAATTTGATTAACCTATGATAAAGACAATTGCTGAGTCATCATTTTCATTAAATTGTGCAATAAATTAAATATTGCTAACTAGCTATAGCTCAAATTACATGCAGCATAAGCAGGGAAACAACATGGCAAGTGCACTTGAGATTACCAAAGGGAGCCAAGAAGAGCCCAAGCCACCTATAACTATAAATAGTTAAATATAAAGGAATGAAACATCCAGTCAAAATTAAATTATGTTTACCTTTTAGCTTCTCATCATCTGGGTTCACAGTTGCAGTAGAACATGAGTGTGCTTGTGTGAGTAAGAGTAAGTTCACAACTCAAATTTCTGACTTTGGAGATTCAGGTTTTGCCAACACCTAGAAGGATAGACTGATTAAGCAATTATGAAATCTCAATTAGATCATAAATATAGATCTATTCAGAAAGGAATACCTCAGCAAACCGAATCTGGCGATGTCGTGGTTTCGAAGGTTTAATAGTTGTTTCTTGAATCACATCAATTGAGGATACATGCAAGGTTTGTTTCCTAGGATGAAGTTGAATGCCTAGTAATGACTGGGGAGCTGGATTTTTTGATGCAACAGAAGGCAATGTACGAGAGAGCCAGGACTCAGATGGTGATTTAGGCAATGGTGGAGGCAGGAGTGACTGCAAAGGATTTCGGTTACTCTTCAGATTTGGTGGATCACTATCTTTGTAACCATGTTTGAGGTCAGTATCACCATTTATATACCCATGATTCAATTTTTTTAAAGTGAAAGGTAAAACAGGCTCAGCAACATTGCAGACTTCCGGATGCAATGCATCCCTTTCATGAACTTTGGCAACTAAACTTTCTTCCATTCTCTTACTTTCTGTACCAACCTCACCAGAGCTCGTCATACTTCTAGTGTCTTTGACAGTATTGAAAGAACTTGACTTTGAATCTGAAGATCCCAGCCTATTCTCTACATCCACATAAAGAGTTTTCTCCGGTGCAGGGCTCATGGTGCCTGAACCCATTTGGCTGCTATGATTTATTTCCCAGTGGTTCTCAACGACTTTCTCACCCACATCAGAACCATCAGCCTTACTACTCTTGCTTTCTCTGCTTACAACTCCAAGAGGACCCTTCTCTTCATGAAGTGATGTTGGAGGGCCTTCACTCTGATAAGGAGATGTTACTGAATGTTGATAGGGAGAGGAGCCATCAGGTGTCAGGGAATCGGATTCACTCCTGAATCTACTCAGCTCTGCCACTTGTGCTTGATGTTCCTGCTCCAATTTGTGCCTAAAAACAGCTCCCCATGAAGGCTAAACATGAAAATGGCAAAATCACAATGATTAATAATAGGTGAAAAAAAATTCAAAAGAAATCCCATATATATACTAATAATTTACCTCCTCTTCAACTCGACTATGAGACAAGGGATGCATGTTTCTTATCTGGGGGTTTCCAGTTCTCCCCCTTGGTGGCCTGCGCAGGTGTCGTTGTACCTTCATAACTGGAACAGGATTTAGAAGACAAAAGGAACTCTTTAAACAAAACTTTGGAAGCAAACCACAAGCTTTCGATGACAAATTGCCAGCATCCTGATAGTATTCCTCATCTTCCTCATCATCATCATAGCTATCCACTTGTTCTAGCTCCTTAGCATAATGCGGTACGTAATCAGGCTTGTTCTGGTAAGGAATAGGAGCAGGCCTCCTATTATCGCTAATTAGGACCCTATCGGTAGGCTTTATAGCCTCTCGTGGAGGGGCAGTTGCTTTCCTGAAGGCGTACTGAGGTGATTCGCAAGCCATGGCCTGGGCAGCGGGCAAGAACCTCTCCAACATGAAGTCCCGGACTGGGGGGTCCTTCGGAAACCTGCCTGAGAGCTTGGCTGCTTCTGGGACTCCACTGAGGCCACTGACACTGCAATTCATTAACATGGAGTCGGTTCGTGATAGCGTATCAAGCGCATCGGAGAAGGCATCATTGTCATCGTCATCTTCTTCTACTTCTTCTTCGCGGTTGTCCACCGCCAGAACGGGCTGGTGTTCTGGCTTCTTCCCTACCTTCTCTTCCTTGTCCACATTCTCTCCCTCTACAATCTTAGGATCGTCTTTAGGGGACTCGGAGGATCTGGCAGTGACATAATCAGAGGCAAAGGTCACAGCTTTACGAGTTCGGACGCTATTGCCAGGCGGCGGCTTTGGCGCCACCAGAGGCTTCACATTGGAGGAGCGAACCGACCCGTCCTTGGGCTGGCCGGGCGTCTGTTCCCAGACGAAGGGGACGACGCCAGGGACACGCACGGGGCCCGACTTCAAATCCGACTTATAGAAAGGCAACGACGACCTTCTCGGCGGCGGAGGCCGTTGATCGCCCTCCTCCCCATTGGATACGGGCGGAGTCGGAGAAGACGCCGCCACCGCTCCCGCTGAGAATCTCCGGACGGAGAGGAGCGGGGCATCCAAGTCGATCTTCTTGTCCTCCATCAGATTCTTCAGCATCTCTACGCAACGACCGGTATCCGAACCCTAATCCTTCTCCACCCTATCGATCCTACCCCAACAGAGCGGCCAAACTATCACCAAATCATTCCTCTGTTTCAAGGAAACCGTCCGCTAGATCAGATAACCTTTGCGATCGTCTAAAACATCAAAAATTCCTTCCCCAAATCTCAAACATACATCAAAAGAAACAAAAGAAAAAGACGAAAGGGGAGAAGGAATCGTTCAGGACTCGACAACGAGGGGGACAGAAAGAAAAGGAGAAGGTAAAGGGGGCGAGGAATTGTTTGAAATGGAAGCGAAATATGGGCTTTCTTCTCTCCCACCTCTTCCTTATACGAGACACGTCGAGAACGAGCAAGCCGAAAGCGCTGCCGGTAGAAATCGAGGAAGTGAGCGATCTACTGTGAAGTGTTCGTGGAACTAATCGTAAATTTCTGGTAGCGATGAAGACGACCGCCCCACTACTACGGTTCCCACATTTCTATCCCCAAACCCTTCTCATCCTACGTGGCTCTCCTCTGGTGTCACCGCTGAGGGTGAACTACTGTCGGTGGATTCCACAGGACGTGCGTTAGCTGCCTTTCCTTTTTCGTGCCCCGAATGGTTTGGCTTCAAGAATATAGTCTTCGGATCGTGTGTCAGCATGTTGCTTAAGAAGTTAACTGATGTCATTAATTATTGGTCAAAGATTAACGTTGCCAGGTGCATTCTTGCTTAGTAATTAAACTGTATACCAATATGTCTCGAACCCGATTTAGTATTTGTATTTAATCTAATAAATGAATACCTTAATCTAGATTAAATTAAATCATGATATTAAAATAAATCCGATATGCTGAGAAGGTGCATATGAGCTAATGATAGAAGGGCAGTTAAAGGAGCACATCACGCGGACCTCGGCGTCGGATGAAGCAATCTTGTCATCGTATAGTTACTCTTGTCGGTCGCGGGCTGCTGGGCACCGTTGACCGTTGACAATTAATGGTTCTCAGGTTTACGTGTTTGCCTACCGTGCTTGGGTCAACCTCAGGAGCCTTACCCAAACGTCTCAGCCCGGACCACGTGCTATTGGGTCGAACCGTGTTCCGGGTCGAAGAACGCGGTGGCATCACAAGATTCGGCCCACGCATCTCAAAGCATGATCAGATCATAATTTAACGTAGCGTTTGTCGATCACGTACGGTTAAAACAGAGCCTTTCACTCATCATTTACTGTGTCTCGGCAGGGGTTCGACGAATTGGTTTGGTCACATCCATGGGACCAAAAGCACAAGCTGTATTTGTCATGGTGGCTGAGTTGGCCGACGTTGCTCCACATATCGACTCGAGCCAGTCCATTTGCCGGCACGTTTTGCGGTCCTCACGGTGGCTGCCGACCATCTTCTGCATGCAGACGCAGCAAGCGACGTGAGCGGTCTTGGTCCGCGCACCATTGTAGACTGGTCAGAGGAGGTTTATCCCACTAACCGATGAATGCAGAAGAACAGTCACGAAGCTCATCCTTCCAACTATGAAACCATGAAAAGGATTACCTCTCTCGCATCCATTTCTTTCCTTTCTGGCTTCCTTTCTCTGCTTTCTACTGCACTGAATCGTAGACGGAGTTATAGGGCAGTCGAGAAGGAAGGGGCGAGGAGAGTACACACTGAGAGGGTCACGAGGGACGCCATCAGGTGCTGCGTCTCCTGCATCCTCCCATGCGGCACGCTCGACGTGATTCGGATCGTGCACGTGAGCGGCCGCGTGGAGGAGATCAGCGGCGCGGTTACCGCAGGTGACATCATGCAGGCGTTCCCGAAGTAATGTCCTCCGGAAGCCGCCTCTCTCGGCGTTATTGGGCGGCGCCGAAGCACCGAAAGTCATGACACTGCCGCCGAATGCTGATCTCGAGAGAGGGAAGATATACTTTCTCGTGCCTGTGGCGTTGCCGGCGCCGGAGAAGGCCCGGTCTGATGCAACGGCGACGAGGAGGAGGAAGAAGAAAGAGGAGAGAGTAATGTGACTGCAACCGATACGGCCGTGCTTCTTAACGAGAGGTATCTGTCGGAGATCCTTTCGGAGAAGGTGTCGAGCTATCGGGACTTGCGGCGAGGAAGAGCTGGGATGTGGCGACTGCACTTGGCCAGCGTCTCTGAGGGTTCAAATGAGCTCTAAACATGCCGCTCTCTTGCTTAATTTCTTATCTCTCTTTCATCAAGCGTTTTTTGGGCTTCTTCATGAGGTGATAGTTGTCCATAGAAAGATACACTTACTCGGCTTCTCTTACGTTCGTCTTTCGTTCCCATCTCCTTCATGCATGACCGACATGAACGATCAATTGCTTTGACAGTAAAGGCAATTAGAAGACCCAAACTAGCCCGGTAAAAGCGTGTCCAAGCAGTTGCTTATGTCAGAATGAATGTGGATAATGTAAGAACTCATTAACTACCATTTATAACAGATGGCAGCAGTTGCTCACGTGCGGTCTCAGAACGGTGGGGCCCGCTGGTCCTTGATGTCCCGTGTCTCGTCTCTCTTCGGTGGCTTTCCGCGCCTTTCCCTCCTGCGGTGTCGTCCGCGACCCCAAAACAAGCCGACGACCGGACCAAACGCCCACCCCCTTCACCAACCCCATAACCCACCCACAACGAACGGCGAGAAAGTAACAGCTCAAGCCCCTCCACCTTCTCTCCGTGCGTGCGCGTGGCGACAGGCGACGCAACCGAGGCTCTCGAGTTCATCTAACCCCCGGTTTCCGACTCTACCCCCTCCGTCTCCTGCGTCGTCGACGCTCTTCCCTCCCGTCTCCTTCCCCTTCTTCCGGGGGTAATTGCGTAATCTTGTACGCCACCGCCTGTCCCCGGTGTGCCTCGTCCTTATCCCCTCCTCTCCGCGACCGAAAAATAATTCTTCCGTCCCCCGCCCGCCCGCCCCTCTCCATTATTTCCCCCGTCAACGACACCCGCGCCCGCCCCCCAAAACCAACGGCGGTGATGCCCCGTCGCCACGATGGACCCCGCGCCCCGTCCATCACTGACGCCATCCCCTCACACGTCGGCGCACGCGTCTCGCCCCCCGGCGACTTCCAACCCCCCCTTTCCTCGCATGCCCCTCACGTGCCACCCCTCGCCAGCCGGCGTCCCCTTCTCGCCGCTCTCTCTCACCCCCTCTTTTATTTCGCCCCCTTTCCCCCTCCTCTCTTTCCGTCGACAACACGACAAGGGAGGGGGAGAGAAAAATAGAGAAGGCCAGGGATTAGGGCTGGATCTGAGGTAGATTTGGGTGATCGATGATGATGGAGGGGAGAGAGACGGCACCGTCGCGGCCGCCGAACCCGGCGCTGCCGTACCGGGAGGACTGCTGGAGCGAGGGCGAAACATCGGAGCTGGTGGACGCCTGGGGCGACCGCTACCTAGAGCTCAACCGCGGCAACCTCCGCCAGAAGCATTGGCAGGAGGTCGCTGACGCTGTCAACTCTCGCCGCGGCGCGTCCGGCCGCCGCCCGCCGCGCACCGACGTCCAGTGCAAGAATCGGATCGACACCCTCAAGAAAAAGTACAAGATCGAGAAGTCCCGGATCGTCACCGGAGGGGGCCTCGCTGCCGCCGCCAGCCAGTGGCCCTTCTTCTCCCGCCTTGACACCCTCATCGGATCGTCAGCCGCTGCCGCCGCTCCGCTGGCGAAGAAGCCTTCCCGCTCGCCTCCGCTAGCCGTGCCACTCCCCTACCACCGCAAGGGTTTCCCCTTGCCGGTTGCTGCCGCCGCGGCCGTCCGGCCGTTGGACCTGAGGGAGAAGCGCCCGGCGGCCACTGCCTTCTCCGTGGACGACTCGATCTTTCGGCGGGCGGCCGCTGCTGCAGCAGCGGCAGAAGACGATGACGATGACGAGGACGCCGATATGGGGTCGCCTTCTGGTTCGTCATCCAGGTCTGCACGGGGTTGGAGAAGGGCTCGGGAGAAGGAGGGAGATGGAATCCGTGAGCTGGCGAGGGCGATAGAAAGGTTCGCTGAGATGTATGAGAGGGTGGAGGGTGCGAAGCAGCGGCAGATGATGGAGCTGGAGAAGAAGCGGATGGAGTTCTCCAAGGAGCTGGAGTTCCAGCGGATGCAGATCTTTGTGGATTCACAGGTCCAGCTTGCAAAGATTAAGCGTGCTAAGCGATCAGATGCTGGTAACCCAGCTGGATCTTTCCTCTTCTTACCCTGTTTCCATTCTTGCTTGTTTGATTGCTAGGGCAGATCGTGAATCAATTTTGTTTTTTTTCCGCTAATTAATAGTATTTTCTTATTCCATTTCTCTTTTGATCCTCTAATTGTCGTTTGTGTCAAGACACATTAGTTATATGTGAAGGTTGTCTACGGATGAGTTTGGGATGGAGCTATTATGGAAAGAAGACCACTTGATGCATATTGATTGGCTTTCCTTTTAGCCTTATGTTCGTTTTGTATCCATGATATCTTCATATATAATTCATTAAGTTAGCAACTTAAGCCCCTCGACTCACCTTTTAGCATGAGTGTAACAGGATTGAACTTATCACAATTTAGCATATGATGTCATAAGATATCTAGTTTTAAGTAAGCTCTCATTTGATCTTATGAAATATGTAGTATCCTCTAGCAATCTGATATTGTCGGTCAGAGCTAGGAGGAATCGAAAGATAAGGCAACAATGTAAAGGAGTGATGAAATTCATGGACATGCTGGTTAATTAAAATACTTTTGTGTGTGCTTATTGTCTTTTATTCTTGTTTGGAGCTGAGAATGGTGTGAGTGAGAGGTTAAAGTTACTCAGAATGACTTTAGAAGACAACAGACCCACATTATTTACTTGTTCTTAGGCTGGATAAGAGATTATAAAGTTCCAAGTCAGAATGGCAGAACAGCATTTGTATGTAGAAATGTTTTACTTCAGTTTTATAACTGCAGACTTGATTTATTCATGCCATTATGCTGCATAAGCACTCTCAGAAGAGCATTTGATAATTCAAATGTCATGCTTGCTGGTCTCGACGAACTGAGCTTTTTTATTTGCAAAAACTGACAGAGCAAAGAGATAAATAGTCGGCTACAATTTGTTAAATACACCATAGTATGAAGTACATGGTTGTTGTTGATGTGCTTAATCATATCAACATATTTCTAGCTTCCTTCCGTCTGACTAGCTAAACAAAACTGGAGTGTATTTCCAGCTAAATTTTTTCAGTGCCTACCTTGGTCTCTGATTGCCAATCTCTTTAGTAACATGTAGATGATGGATGTCAGATAGAACTGGATTGTGATAAAAAACGTGAACTATAGGAAAAGAAGAAGCTAAGATTCATCAAGTTTTCTAGCTTAAATGTCTTTTCCCCTCATATTTTTCTGAGACATGTATATGTATGTTCTATGGGAGGCATGATTAGGTTTGTCCAATTTGGAACCAATGATAATAAAATGGCTTCAAGACCAATATAATTTACATTCACACCAACATTATTGCTGTATATGCTTATGAGGAATTGTCTGATTAATTAGTTTAAAGTCCATCTGCATCGGATGATAAAAATATTGAAATTTGCATATCAGGTTAAGCCTGAGTAGGAGTATGAAGGTCTGTTATTTCTGTTGATGAATTGATCTGTCATGGGCCAACCTGAAATAGTGCATTTTGAGTGAATAACTGGAGGCACCCTGCACTTCCTTCAGCTTATCTCCTTGATTTTGGCCACGACATTGTTGTTCAAGTGTTTATATTTAGTTTTTTTTTTTGGATTTTTTTGCTATTATAAATCCTCTTATGTTTTGGTTTAGACTATGCAATCAACACAGTAAACAGTTTACTAAATGTATCAACTGGCTCCCAGTTGGTTTAACTGCATTCAATAATTGAATTCTTAGGACTTGAAATTAGAATAGTTGCTTTTCTGACTTGTATCTTCTTCTTGTCATGCCTTCACTATGTGGCAAATTCTATTAATCAGATCAATAGGATGCTTTTATAGAACTTCTTCCTAGATTGCCAATATTAGCTCCACTTCTTGACTGCAAGTTTGTGCAACTCTCCTTTTCTTGTTATAATCCTAACCAAGAGCCAAAACTGCTGGTATCTAGCTTGTTTTAGATGAATAGCAGACCAGAGTAAGCAAACCTCATAATATAAACATGACTTTCAACACAGACTAGTTCATGATGGATGTGGTTCTGTGCTGAATGCCTGTTCCTGCAATGTTCCTCCTAATGTAGGTGTACTGTGAAGTGGTTCTAGGGTTCTAGCCTTACTAAGCAATAATAACTCATTATTTAATAATGTAGCATTGTTATTTCTACCATGCTTTCACAATACCCATTAACTTTTGTAGAGGTTTCTTACTTTGGAATATTTTGATGGTTTTCAATTTCAAGGTTCATTATACCATAGTGTACCGCCCGGTATACGTGGTACATACCGGTCTGATAGAGGGCTGGTGTAGGTGGTACATACTGATCTGCTAATACATTTCATTGTACAATGTGTCGATACCTTGGTATAGGCTGGTATGTATTGTACCAATGGTTGGTCGGTACATTGGTGTGAACCAATAAGGCAGACCGTACTTAATTTCATATTCATCACAAAAGTTTTGTGAAGCCAAATAATACAATAGCCAGCAATAGCTTTGTGGAGCTAAACAATATAATAAGTCTCTTGCTATGATTTAGAGGGATAGGTTCAGTTAGCCCTATACTTTTTGCGACGGCTCCATAAAACTATTGTCAACTTGTATTTGAATTTTTGTCCATGCACTGCCTGCATCTTAGCTGTAGCATTTCCTTTACTGATCAACGTGATATTTGGAAGTCACAAAATTGAACATGTCTCTTATTTTCTCATGCTAAGTTATATGATATTTTGTATATCTATATGTTGGGGGAGTTGTCCTCTGTTAAGGACATGTTGACGACTCTTATTTATCAGTCTAGCTCACCTTAGTAAACAAATCACCTTACTCTATTTTGTGTCCATAGATTCTTATAATATTTGGATAAATCGTTCCTGCTGTTGTAATGTATGTATCTCGGATACAACACATTTGAGAAGATATCATTCTTAAGCTCTTAGTAGCTATGGTTCTTTATGATTGTTGACTCGAACCAAACGTTTCTGCTAGATCTTGAGTAACAGAATGTATAATATTAATTCCTTATGCTGTTGCTTGCCAAAGAACGGTGTCGTGCTTTGCAGGCAGCTTATTCTGCCTCCAAGAGAGAGCTGGATTCCAAATTCGAAAAATCCTAGTTTTTTCTTGTAATTGTCAAAATTTTGTCATACAATGTTGAGAAAATTATATTGTTTTCCTGATGTTGAGAGAAATAAGACAGAACGTTGTTGTACCATGTCTTTTAATGATTTAGATTGTTATGATTACCGATTAAAGTAAGTCCGAGCTCTCATTGATTTTCCTTTCTTGTAATTCTGCTTGACCAGCGGTTCTTATCAGATATTTCTTGTACTTCTCATGTTGCAGACGGTTACATGTAGATCGCAGTCAGTGAGTTGTGCCACTACTTGGATGCGTGCCGAACCCATGCAACTCCATCTTCATCCTGAATTGGATGACACGTTTGACATAACACTACCAGTATTCCTAAAGAGTTAGTAGCTGGTTCTGTAAGTTGACATGACACCATTGTGTTTTGTTTGTGGGCCCAAATTTCAGTGACTCTAAAACCCTTTCATTAGTTAGGTGGCAGAAGAGGTAGAAGTTGATGCATTGTGAAACATTGTGTCTGTCGAGATTCCAGAACATAAATATTCTTATTCGCATGATTGTATGGGGTTATGAACACAAAGCTCGTCATCGTTGCTCGATGCTGCTTTTACACCAGTCTGGCTGTGAGTCATCTACATCCCAACGTATTCTTCTTCTTGTTCCTTTCTTGTTTTTGGATGAGCAATCGAGGAATTCCTTCAGTTTTGATACCAAGACATAGCATGATGTGTCTAGTTATGTTCATGGTATCGTTGGTCTCGACTGTTTGAATTAATGATTGCAGCGAGGCCACATAATACAACTACTAATATAATTGCTCTTCTTTCATGCACTGATCTTGTTCGAGCAAAAGTAGTGGGAGCAACATGCACCTGCATTTATTTTACGTCAATCATGTACCTATTGTGTTCCTCTCTCTCTCTCTCTCTCTCTCTCTCT